GCGACACGTTGCTGCACGCAGCAGACAGTTACCCGGCCACTGCGCCCACCATGCAGACAAATACTTATGTATTTTATATTCCTTTTAACAAATTAGTTTTGACCTGTCATGTTGAAACGCGTCTGTACCACCCAAGGAAGACCGTGAAAGAATGCTTAAGGCAATAAATCCTCATGTGATTACCATATAAAAAAATGCGGAAGCATTTTCCTGGACCTTTTGAACGACTTTACCAACAGCTCTTTTCTGTTGTGTTTGTTATTGTCAGAACAATGTTATGTACCTATATAAACTAATCGGGAAATTTATTCATAAAAGAATAAACCATTACCTTATAAAGTTCAATAGTTCTCATAAAAAATGATTGCTTGCCATTCAATGACCTACTTCAAATATTCATGCATGCGTGACTAGACAACACTCATTTTAACATCCTCGAATCCTTCCATAAAAATTGAAAGGCTTCTGTAATGTAACGTGGTTTAGACATGCTTGTATGTCTTACAAATACCAAAATTTATACAGATAACCTACTAACTTCCTTCATCTTTTATAGTTTAATATATTGAACAAGGCTAATACATTGCTCGAAGCGTGATGTTTTTCAACTGCTGGATAATAAATGAAACATCGTAAAATGTTAATCATGTTTATTATACTAATAATGCTAAGGATGCAGTGAACATGATATTTAATAAACTTCATCATTTACAGAGAAGACAGGGGTCGACAATTGACTTTTTGGTAACAACATTATGATAAAATGACTACTTACAGATGCCATTTAGAAATAAAAAAAAATATTTCGCTATTAGACCATGTAAAATCTTAACAAAACAAAAATTTCAGTACAACTCAACATTAATTAAATAAAATTTATTTTTGTTGTGCAAAGAATAAGCCACCGATAAAATGTTTTGTTCAATGGTATAGTTTATCAAAACCCTAACTTTCCTCATCGTTTGAAAAACAAATGCATTGATATGAAATACCAATTAATTGCGAGGTGATTATTAACACTTCCGCTCAGAATTCGAGAACATTAATTTTAAAACGGAGAGTTTATGACTACATTATTAAATACCACAATATACAAGTAAGTAAAAAACTGACAGAATTTTTTTATGTCCAATATAGTTAAAAGAATGTCTAGAGCTATCATTATCTGTTACTTAACATATACTTATTCAAATCATGAAAAGGTTAATTTACAAGTTGAATGCTATTTTTTTATTATAAGTCATAAAAGTTACTTTTTAAGAGTACTAGATAGTAGTGCATATTGTAATGTAGTCAATACATTTATGAAATATGCACACATTATTATGAACAAACTCTGTACAACATTTATATGATACTGAGTGGAATATCAGTCATTTCTAGTACTATATTTATGGCCTCATGCGTCCACAACCACAACTTATTGATTAACCCATCCGTTACAAATATCTTAATGTAAATCAATCCTGTATGCACACAGTGTTTTATTATGATTCTTACACATTATGTTATCACTTGTTTCACATTAACAACCGAGTTGAGGCTTTTACAAGTACAATATTTGGGTGTGGTTGTGTATTCAATCGTGTCCATTGGTTTTCGCATGTGGTACAGTACCATTGAGTAAAGGTACGGAAGGTGTCTGTCTGATTGTCTTCTGTAGCACATGGGCATCGGCTGGCTCTATCCGCTTGTAGTAGTGTTCTTTTGTCTCGACAATCTCAAATCCAAACTTCTTATAAAAATCTATTGCTCCCTCATTGTTCACTTGTACATGTCTGAAATAGATAGTCAGGATTTATACTTCACATTGAAAGTTGTTACAACTACTACTAACTCTCATCTATGTAAAGCATACTGGATAGGTAGCACAGCTACACAACACAATACTTATGGGGAAAAATCCTATTACTTTTATATCCTATTTGTTGCTATTGAACAAAATGTTCTTTGTTTGAGTTATAATATGTAACAAAATCAGCTAGTAATTAGGAATTGAAAGATTTATGGACCATTACAAACTTTCTTTGGCAATATAATATATGTCACATACCAGACAGCAAGGCCTACATTGATATCTGAACAGTGATATGTCGCGTTAAATTAATAAATTGATGGGTACCTACAGCTTAAATTGAGTCAAGTATCTTGAGACACATCTGTAGCACAGATACAGTTCATATTATAATCAAGTTTCCTCTCAATTTAGTGTAGTGTTTACAGGGACTTTGGATTGTGATATATGATAGCTGATAAGGACCAACATGCAAATGTTTTATTAATTACTTCAGACAATTTATATTTTAAACTATATATATTGACTTTGACTGCACAATTAGTGTAAATAGATGGGTTAGATTCTTACATGGAAGAAGTCTTAGTGTGATCCATAGTTCAGGCCTGAATCTGATGTGCATGAGAACTTTTGTGTTTGTAAATGCACAGAAGAGAATTAATATTAACATCTGTTTGGAAGCACAATATTTACATGTTTTTGGAAGGATGGTTGAACTTTTCAATTGTGTATTTCAAGACACAATAGAAGAATAATTGGCGCGCAAACACTGGCATTCACTTGGGGCTCGATGAATGAAGTGTGATATTGCTATTAAAATATTTTCAGCTTTTACTATTACTTAAATACATAATAACAAAAACAAGCGTTCATTAATTTTTAGTATCTTATGCAATAAAAAACCAAGGAAGTTAGTTACTGAAATCTATTTGATTTAAATCAATGTTATGTAGTGCTATTTGTTCCACCAAACTAAATCATTGTCAAATATAATTATGATCTTATATTATTGTTATCAGCTGGAATTGTTTTTAATCTTGGATATACAGACAATACTAAGTTATCATGGCTGTAAAAGTATTGATACATAAAATAAGTTGAATTGAATAATTACATACAGTTAAATACCAATAAAATCATTGGCATTTTGTTTCAATAAATTATACATTCACATAATTAACATAAGAATAATATGAATAATAATTTTTACAAGTTCAAAGCTCCCATCTTTTATTATTCAGTTTCTTTATCACACATGATAAATGTCAATCTTGATAAATCAATGTGAATAATGTGTACTAGACTTCTAGATAAGATCTTTATTTTTAGAGTTGCATAAAGGTTCATCATCAGGCATAATACAATATTTACTTCAATAACTAATTTAATATAATCATGTCCTTGACATAATAATGCATAGGTATGTCCCAGTACTATAGTATTCAACAATATAGGTCAATAAACAGAATTTAGACTTTAATAGTCTAAATTCATATTTATTGAATCAATTTACTGATAAGTCAAAAACCTATTTCACTGCTCTTAGCATGTTTATGTACTGATAAACTTGATATAGAATGTGACAATGGCTTGGTTAGTAGCACCTACTCATAAAGATTCATAACCTTCAACATATTGATACTAATAATAAATTTATAGAAAATATATGAAAATATAACTGTTACACCTATATATGTAATGTATATGGTACTTACAAGAAAATACTGTCGAAATTGCCGTCTTGTTCAACATACTTGAGCACATGTTCCACCATAAGAGTACCAATGCCCAATCTTCTATATGGGTACAAGCAACCCAAGGTCATAATATAAAGTCTCCGCGAGTTTTCCGACGTGTCTATTCTACAGCATACTGCTCCCACCACGATATCGTTATAATATGCTAACTTGGCCAGTTCACCAGCCTCTAAAACATCTTTGTAGAATTTATCGTTGTAAGACACTGGAAATACAACTGTATTTAACTTCTTCAGTTGCTTTATATTGTGTGGGGTCACGTCGCCGAGTTCTATTTTAGCTCTGAAAAGGCAAATGTGCTCTTAGAAATGTAAAATGGTATAATATTAGGGACGGACATTGCACTTCACTTTGGTGCGATAAATCATGACACAATTTAATTTAAGCAACGTGATGTATACTCAAACGTGCAACTGATGTCTTACCTAGTCATTTTAATAACTATTCTAAAAATTAAACACTACAATTTAAAAACTAATCTAACACAGTTATATCACACGAGATCACTCCCGCCATCTACCACTTTAGCTAGTTCGCTCACTCGCTTCGCTAATCTTCGTTCAAGCGACAAATCGAGTTTTTGACAGATAAGTTTCCATCCTACGATATCAAAATTCTACTATTTAATATAATAATTCTAAAATCACCTGCATAGTTATTATTTTATAAGTAATTTATAGAAACAAATATATTTTATATTATTTAGAACTATTCTATCGATATCATCAATTAATTTAAAGGTGTAACATTTCTGATTAATATCGTGGAGAATATTACTGGAATGAAACATATATTTTTGCAAAAGCAACACTGTCGTATTCGTTCGGAATCTTATAAATATCGATTATTCTCGATCAATATTTTCAAGAAAAAAAAGAAAATCTATCATTGCAAACCTAAAACATTGGTATAAAATACAATAAAATAACTATAAAATAGCTTTTCTGAATCGTCCAATAGTAAGGTAATTTTTAAGATATTAGCAACTTCTAAATTCATAGATACGTCAGGCGCCAAATTTAAATAAATTCATCTTTCCATTGTTTTTATTTGTCAAAATCCAACATTGCGTGACGGTAGATTTCTTAGAGAAGAGAAAAGACGAAATAACAAAAATGTATCGTAACCAAGTGCGTAGTTTTTTACCTTACAGAAGATTAGGATTGATTAACATCCAGAATAGATGTTACGAGAAAGCTGATTTTAAAACTTCGAAATCTCAAGAAATGGACAACACTAAGGCATCCATGTCGTCTGTTGGTTTAAGTCCTAAACAAATTGAAATGTTTCCAACAGCCAAGGTTCATGTGCCGATAATGCTCACTAATAGAGAGCCAATTGTTTTACCATTCGATGAAGTACCTGGGCCAAAATCTTTGAAGTATATTTCTAATATTCGTCAGTACCTTTCGGAAATAGGCACTCAAATCACAGTAGGGGTTCTCACGATGATGCTTAATGTGGGTACGTACATACCTTTTTCTAAAGTTTCCCACCATTTCGATTCTTTTTTTTAACATAAGTAATTATTGATTGTTATTCTTTTTACAGGCACATATATGAATGCAAAAAAACCATTGAAAAATCTATCTGTCCTCTTTGATGAGTACGGTCCTGTGGTACGATTCGTTAGTCCCGTGGGTGGGGATATAGTTTTAATAAATCACCCAGAACACATTCAAAAAGTTTACGCAATGGAGGGAAGCTTTCCTGTTAGATCAGCTTTGGATTCTCTAGAAAAATATAGATCTGAGCACAGAAATCAGATTTACGGTGGATTGTTAACTGCGTTAGTTACTTCCTTTTTTATACTTAGTATACAGCAAATGGGCAAATTAATAACAAGATGGTAAGCAAACCCGCCCCTAAGATGACCCAGTGACCCAATCTTCGCCTACGTTTGGCGTGGTGTTGGGGTTTGAGGGTTCCTTAATTCTGTACTTGATCTTCCAATAAAAGATCTTAGATACCTACCTAAATCGTGTGATTAAAGGTCTTTTGCAAATTACAATATGTGTAACTGTCTAGAAATATTTTTTCCACTTTCAAATAACTTTTGAGATCACCAATTAACATAAAATTTGGTATTTATAGTTACGGCGAGGAATGGCATCGTCAGCGGGAAACTGTAGTAGCTCCTCTACATGATTCGGTGAACAAACACATAAGCGGCATCAATGAAGTTTGCGAGAATTTTACACAGAAGATAAATAACTTGCGAAACCACCAAGACGAAATTACGAACAACCTGTATAAGGAAATTTACAAGTGGTCTTTTGACTGTATGGGTAATGTTCGCAATGTTATTCAAAGTATCTACCTACCTAGTTATTTCAGGTTTTTTCTTAATAGTTTTTAAACACAACGGTCTTGTTGTTATTGTTCAGGGCATGGTTGTGGGATTGCCTGATAACTACAAGGGGGGAGGGGGGGGGCGGTACATATTTAAGAATTGGTTATTTCAGTTATCCCTCGTTCCTCAACACTAATGTTGCACTCTTGGGGATTAAAAATGTTACGTCATTTACAGGATTGATCCTCTTCTCGAAGAAATTTACCATGTTGAATACAGAGGTTGTGTACAGTCAGTGCGACATGTCATGGCTATACCACAGCTTGGAGAAAGCTACCGATGCTATCATTGAATGCGAGTCCGGTATGCAGTTCTGGAAACTATTCGCGACACCTGCTTGGAGTTCCTTGGTTAAATACTGCGACAGTTTGGATAAGTGAGTATGAAATCGAATCACTAATAAGAAGTTAATGAGGTTTTGTAAAGATCCATGGTTAGATAAAATATGTAGGTACCTACCTACCTATCGCATATGAGCCTCACTATCGCATATAAAAAACAATTTCTCTACATTCATCACGCCTTTTATACTTCTTCTAATGGGCCTTTTTAACCCCGAAGGTTTGTGATAGGCAGATTTATTTCATATTTGACTACAATATACTATAGCTTACCCCCATAAAATGTTCATTTTCAGTTTGATCGGAAAATATGTACTGGAAGCGGAACAGGCTGTTAGTGTTCAACAGAAGAATATGGGGCCGGTGTCTGATGAACGTGAGTGAAATGTATTTTAACCTACTTGCATTTACAACAACAATAAGTAGTAGGTATAACATAGCTATGTAGCACATTAGTAGCAAATTGCTTAGGTATTTTTATCTAAGTATTTACTAAGTGTTACTTTTCAGTATTTTCAGTTAATAATAATTCTTTGGTCAATGCAATGCTGTTGGGAGAAAACAAAATGAGCGCCGAAGACATTGCTACAATTATTATGGATATGCTTCTAATTGGAGTTAACACTGTAAGCACTTACCTAATATTAAACATAGTATAAAGAAAACACGTAAAATGTAGTTTACCGTGTACTTGCAAAAACGAATAAAACTATCTATTTTCAGATTACGTCTTCAATGTCTTTTCTTTTGTATCATATAGCGAAATATCAAAGAGCACAAAAGTTGTTATTCAACGAAATAAACAAAGTTAGTGGCGATATAGACGTAAATAACATATCGAAAATCGTTGAACAAACGCCATATCTTCAAGCATGTATAAAAGAGTCTTTACGGTAAGCTGCGGAATGAAGCATAGGTATAAACAAATAATACTTAAGCATGAAGATATTAAAAAATATTTTATTTTCAGACTAGTCCCGCCAATTCCTGTGCTAACCAGAGTTTTACCAAAAAATATAACTATTGACAGATATAAGTAAGCATTAATACTACAGTTTATTTTGTGTCCATTTTATGATATCATTTACTTTTATAACATTGCAACCTTCCAATTTTTAAAACAGTATCCCTCGTGGCACACTTATTGTTATGTCTACTCAAGATGCCTCTCTTAAAGAAGGAAATTATGATGATGCATCAGTTTTCTACCCTGAGCGGTGGTTGAAGGATGATGCAAAGGAATACCATGCTTTTGCATCTATACCATTTGGTTTTGGAGCCCGTAAGTGTTTGGGCCAGAATATAGCAGAGACAATGCTCTCTTTGCTTACACTTAGGGTAAGCCGATATTCTTATAATTATGACAGATTTTAATTTTGTTTTGATAGAATGTCTAATTTTTACAAAACTTTCAGATTCTCCAAAAGTATAAGCTAGAATACCATTATGGAGATATCCGATCAACGAGAAGTTTTATATCAAGACCTAATAAGGCACTAAAGATTAGGTTTGTGGATAGACTTTAATTTTTGCAGAACAGAAGCGGTTTCAACTAAATGTAGTTAACCATTAACCTAGTAGAGCAAGTAATGTTTTAGTTAAATAAAATACTTTGTAAACTTAAAATTATTTATTAGTCTACTGATTTTAAATTGTAGATGTTAACATTTAACAAGTTTAAACACAATAAAATATTTAAAAGATACATAAGTTTATTTTATTTCTTAGAAATAGAAATTTTAGTATAAATAACTTTGTATATTAGGTAAATCTACCTATACTTATGTTTGAAACTACTGATGTCACTCAGTGTACCATGCCAAATAGGGTTGTTGTTTTTCCTCAGTCAAAAAGAAATTGCCAACCTTAGTTTTGAATTAATAAAAGCATAAAAATTTTAATCTAAACCATTCAAAATGTATAACATTAATTAATTATGCAATTTACTAAGTGTTCATACATATTTTTTTGAGTTCAACAGAAATAGGAATGGTAATCAACATAAAACAATTTGAACAATTGGAAATAGTTACACAAAAAAGATCTTTCCTCATAGTGGTACTTTTGAGATATTGATGTAGGTAGTGATTAAAAAACAATCATTTGGTTAGTAGGTGTAAAACGGGGTGAATAGAAGTTGAGGGGTAAATAGATACACGAAAGGGGTGAATAGATGTTGGCGAATTTTCCTTGTATCTATTCACCACTCATCCGTTTTTATTCACCCCTCAAATTCTATTCACCCCGTTTTACCGTTACCCCATATTATAAAAAAGTCAACATATTTTGAATAGGGTGTTTTTACTAATGGAAAATATAGACTTAAAGATTAATTTTGCATATTCAGGTCATTTTCGACCAAACTTTGGTTGTATACTTTTTGTGTAACTACATCCAATTTAAGCATAATTCTAATCATAATCTGATGTTACACTCAGAATACAGAACAAACCAGAATCCGCGTTCACTCATAATTACATGTCGTCAAATGTGTCCAAAAACAATACGTCAATCCCCCCGCCATCCGCACTTCCCACCCGCGTAGTGTTGCCGACAGTGGAACAATTCCCTTGGTTTGGGGTAATTTTAAAACAGGAGGGTAAGATACGAGTAAACCCAACAAAATAGGTAAACTTACGATAAATGCAACAGACTAGTTGTTCACACATTTCATAGAGGTATCATAAAAGTTGACGATTTCTGGCTGTGTTAATTTTAGTTACACCTACTATACACAACAAATAAAATAAAGCTTCAATAAGTACCAAGGTTTTATTGCGTTCTCTTTTGCTGGTTTAGTTTTTTTAATATGTCTTTAGACTCGGAACTAAAGATTAGAAGTCTACTTACTTTACTTAGTTCCTGAGATTAGCGCATTCTAGCAAACAAACAAACAAACTCTTCAGCATTATAATTTGTATGCAAACCACCTTTGTCATAAATATATCTCTTCAAAATGAATTGAGCAAACTATGCTCTGGCTAGATGGTTTCCAAAATTAATCTAACCGTGCCCTTTGTATGATTTGTATTTATTTTTTTGTCAGGGAAACTAATATGACATAGGCTCCTTAATGGACAAAAATATAACCCACAACAAATAAATAAGTGGGTAAAATTTTCACCAAGAATGACAACACTCACAAAATGGCCGCATCATTTTCATAGAAAAATAAAATTCAATAATTAATTTAATATACTATTGCAGTCGATGCTTGCAGATGAAATGTAATCTTATCCACTTTTTTCGTAATTCCAGTCGCATTTTTACTCGTTGTAATAACACAAGACGGCATAATGAAATTAAAATTGATACTCCTAAATACGTCACGACAGCAACGTGCCAAAATTGACTAATCGTAGAAATTTCATACTATTCTAGTTGAGAATGGTTTTAGTTGCTTAAGTTTAAAGCGCGATGACGCCTTCTGGTTTGTTCTGAATTCTGAGATGTTACAGTAAAAATTGAATTTGACTAGTGTAGCGCGGGATTTTATTTGGTTAGGCTGTGGCTTCGCTACACTGTGGCTGCAACGCGCCGCAGCGCTACCTATTACAGTAACGCGCATGCGCGGCCCCCCCTCCGCCGCCCGCGCACCCCGCGCGCCAACGCAGGCCGAGGTGGCGCGAGCGGCGGCGCGAGAGAGCGCCCCAACCCTCGTCGCGTACGGGCGACATGTACATTCCTCCGCGACTCGACGCCACGTTAATTGTAATGTAACCATGTGCTTAAATTTAAGAACTAAGTATGTTTGTGATTAATGATGTTAAACAATCAATAAAGTTTTAATGTTTCAACCACCAAACTGGCGCCCAAACTAGTGGCCGAATCGTAACGACCGGTACAAATCGAGATCCAGTGCCTACGTGACCGCGGGTAAAGTACCTACCTACCCGAACCTACTCGCCGCGTTACCGTTGTCATCACTAACGTGAAGATGCCGACAACGAGGAAAGGAGAAGCCCTCCGTAAACAACGTGGTGAAGATGAAGGTGATGTCACGCTCACTGAAGATGAGAGCGTCGCCGAGCGCGGCCACGTGGACGATGCCGCGCGCGCCGGCTCGAGGTCGACATCTCAGCCAGCTCCCCAGATCCCAACAGACTTCTTATCCACGCTGATCGAGACGATCACGCGTGCGCAAGTGGAAGCCAACAGAAGCCTCATCAACACGCTGATGACGTCCAGCGGCGACTTCAGAGCCTCCACCCCAGTCGGGACCTCGCCATCAAACGCGACCAGCGCAGGTGTCGCTGTCGCGCCTGCGTCGTGCAGCGACGCCAACTTCACGAAGTGCACGGCGAGATACGACGGATCATCCCAGGACACCGAGGTCCTGGAAGCGTTCCTGGACGCCGTCGAAGTTTACAAGGAGTGTGCAGCGGTGAGCGACGAGCACGCCTTACGTGGGTTGCCCATGTTGCTGGAAGGCGACGCCGCCGTGTGGTGGCGCGGCGTGAAAGCATCGGTGCCTACGTGGACGGATGCGATAGCGCGGCTTCGCGCCACCTTCGGCGTGGCGCAGCCCGCGCATCAAACCCTCCGTGAAATATTCGCCAGAGAGCAGGGAGAAGAATGTGCAGAAACATTTATATGTAAAGTGCGCGCGTTACTCGCTAAATTACCGTATACGTTGGAAGAAAATGTGCAGGTGGACATTTGCTACGGTTTACTGCACCGACGCGTAGTGAAAAGAGTGCCGCGAGACAGTGTTCGTAGGTTAGACGACTTACTATATAAGGCTAGGATCGCGGAGGATACCTACAAAGCGTCAAAGGTAAAGTCCGACCCTGTAAATAATAATAAATCGACCGACCCACCGGCGGTGACTACCACCGACCGAGATTTAACACAATTAAGTTCCGCTACCACGAACGCGACTACGTCGCGTTGCAGCAACAGAAATAGGCCCCGTTGTAATTATTGTAAACTTTTCGGTCATGTTAGCGACGAGTGTCGTAATCGCGAGAAGTCTATCATTAAGGATAATAGTAACAATATACCCAGGGAGTTACGTTGTTATGGTTGTGGTAAGCAGGGCGCCGTGAGGTCGAAATGTGATGTTTGCGCGAAAACAATATCGAAACCCAACGACAAAACATCTTTCAATATTGTTGATGTAGATTTTTGTTCCGAGGTAGAAAACTATAGTTACGCGAGTCCGAGTGATATAGATTCGTGCGTTAATATTACGAATATTAGTACGCGCGACAATCACCCGATGGTAAATATTAGTGTCGCGGGCCGTGGCGGCGTGGCGATAATAGATACCGGCGCCACGCATAGCATCGCGAGCCCCCTCTTACACCGAGTTCTAGTAGACTCAGGAGTCCACTTCACCGAGACGAAACGTTTCGTGCGCCTGGCTGACGGATCGCAAGGGTGGAGGGACCTGTTATCAGCCGAGGTTGAGGTTAGTATTAAAGGTCGTAGGGTGACGTGCCAGTTCTTAGTATTACCTGGAAGTGATATTAGGACGCTTTTAGGTATAGATTTTTTAACGCGGGCCGGCATGGTAATAGACGTCGCCCGCCGCACATGGTCGTTCTCGGACAGTCCGGGACAGCCGTATGATTTTGTTTACACGTATACTCTCGACTCAGCTGATACAGGCCTATTGCACACTACACCTTCAAGTGAGTTGTCGCGACCAGTTTGTCCTGACGAGCAGAACGACTGTGACCTATGTATGACGGTTATTGACATACCGAAAGGGAACAGTGGTGATATCCGCAGCAACCAGCTGTTAGACCCAGAGGTTCGCAAGATTATTGAGGACATGGAGTCCGACGAACCCTCTAGGGGGAGGCCTTGGTTTGATCGTGGATACACCATATCTGACGGTATCCTATACATGTACAGCTTGGAGTCCGATGATGGAGAGGACTGTCGCCTAGTTGTTCCTGAACACGAACGCAGGCAAGTTATGGTCGACTTGCATGATGCGCCGACAGCTGACCAGAAGAGAAGGCTGCCGCCTGAGTATAAGGTAGGTGACTTGGTCTTGTTGAGGACGCAGGGGCCTAACGACACAGACCGCGGCCAGACCGCGAAGCTTATCCCACGTCGTGACGGCCCGTACAAGATAGGGAAGGTCATCAGCCCGACCACCTACGGTCTGGAGAACGTACAGACTGGAACGAACGTAGGAAAATATCACGTTTCGCACCTCACACCTTTCGCGGGTCAAGTAGAACCTCCCATTCGCGAAAAACGCAGGCGCGGCAGACCGCGTAGGTACTTGGACTAGCCCAACTGTGGGGACACTTAGTTAGGCTAGAGGGGGAGGATGTAGCGCGGGATTTTATTTGGTTAGGCTGTGGCTTCGCTACACTGTGGCTGCAACGCGCCGCAGCGCTACCTATTACAGTAACGCGCATGCGCGGCCCCCCCTCCGCCGCCCGCGCACCCCGCGCGCCAACGCAGGCCGAGGTGGCGCGAGCGGCGGCGCGAGAGAGCGCCCCAACCCTCGTCGCGTACGGGCGACATGTACATTCCTCCGCGACTCGACGCCACGTTAATTGTAATGTAACCATGTGCTTAAATTTAAGAACTAAGTATGTTTGTGATTAATGATGTTAAACAATCAATAAAGTTTTAATGTTTCAACCATTAAACTAGTTGGATATTACCCAATTGAAAAAGTATAGTAACTTATTGATTTTGATGTGATAACTATTTACTACATATTAGGGCTGATTTTTCAATAGTCAGATGAATGTTATCCGATTTATAAAATTGTTACTGTCACTGTCTTTTACAAACATTGTGGCACAACCACATAATTATTATTCCCATGATAACTTTTATCTAACCATTAAAAATCAGCCCTTAGTACTTAATAGTTGCATTACTGATTGAGGGCACCCTCAGCTCATTCAATGGAGGGTGCAGCAGATAGAATAATTATTGTTTAACTCAGTGTTGCATTATAATGATCTTTCCATCTGTCATGGTCTTCCTAGAAAAGTATGAATACTTTTATAAGTTTCAAAATGAAAATTCTATGGTTTTGTTTTGACTTCCCTCTGTACATATCTAGCAACATATACAAACATGTACATTCTACGAGCCACCTTTAGAGAAAAAATCAATTTCATATATTATATTAGTCTTATTTTATTATTTGGCATTTGATTTGGAATAGCACACTCGTGGTCGCCTTGAAGAAAATATATTTAAATACTTTCCTCTTGTCATTTCTTTAGCCTCTTCAAGCCCAAGTTGGTAAGCTAGGTCATGGAGCTTCTTAACTTCCATAATAAGTCCACTAGTAGAAAGTGACCCCAATTCTGTAAGAAAGTTGTCCTTGAACAATATTGCACCATTCCAACGAAAGAAGTAAAATGGATAATCAATGATTTTGGTTGAAAAAGAAACTTTAAATTACATATGTCATTACAGGTTGAAAGATGAAACCAATAAATTGACAATTTGAACTCTAACAATACAGTACTGTACATATCAGTTTCCAATTTCAGGACAATAACAGATTGAACAGGTGTTATAATTGTGGCTATTAACTTATAATATCCGGTAAAATAAGAGAATAACAGATAAGTAACACTTACGTTGCATGTAGGCAAAATCTTCCTTGGTAACTCCTCGAGCCCACAAAGGGGGCGACTGGTTGTTACTTGGCGGGGGAGCAAATTCCGACACTCCAGGAACTGCAAACGATGAAGTAGAACATTGTGACCGCTCATCTGAGTTGAATACATTAACATTATCTTCGCTCATTGTAAATTGATTTAAAAAAGATCGTTTATAACCGAAATGCCAAGATATATGAAATAATTTTGTTGTTGGTTGCCAGAATGACAACATTAGAAACAAAACAGATTTCGCGCGATTTTTTAAAACTTACTTATTGTATTATTTTAGAAACGTTTTATTTGATAAACATTTTCATTAAAAGATCTATCTTACTTTGCTCCGGCCACAATTCTGGAGACGCACGATCAAGTTTTTCCGAGCTGAACAAGCTTTCTTCTAACGACGTCAGTGGAATATCATCAGATGTTGTTTGTTCTAAAACACCACAAACATTGTTAACTATTTAACCTAGGAAAAAATAGCTAGACAAGCAAAATACTTATGTAGACATATTATGGCACTAATTAAATTTCGATGCGAGGTTCGTCTTGACAATAAGAAATGATAAAATCTTTAATTTACCTTCTTCAACAACAGGATTTTGTTTCGCGGCCATTTTCCAATTTTTGACAATTCTTAATACATAGACAACAGAACACCATAGAATATACATAATGTGTGCACCATAGCACAGACAATAAAAATATTGTCTCTGTCTCAACGGAATATAAAATAAATGCTGACTTTACTGTTGATTGAGGTTAACTCAATCGAGGTTAATTCGGTCATACCATGAAAGAATTAACTTTTCTATCGTCTAAGGTTCATACACATAGACATCTAGGCAACACTTCACAAATGGCACAAGATTAATCTAGATACACCAATATTACACATTAAATAATGTATGATATAGTATTCAGGCAATGTTTATGAAGTCCCATAATAAACATCATTAAAAATATCTGTAATACATAATTTCTACAGCGATTTTGTTGTTTGAAAGAAGAACGTTCTTTGGACACAATAACACAACTATTTTTTTGGTGTCGGTTTGTAAAATCCTCGTGGAGTCCCACAGCCCTCGGGAAAGGTGAAGGGTACTGTCAGACTAAAAACCAACCCGGTGTTCATCCATTTACCCTTATGTCGGAGGAGTGGGTATCGCCGAAACATTAGTCAGCCACTGCGACCGCCACCCCCACTGCAGGACTTTACTATTAGGCGCGCGCGGAACTTCTCCTATACATATTTCACTTTTTGTATACTGCTAACATTAAAAGTAAATCTCGAAACCAAAAGCTCCGATGATAACATGGTGAGATTAAAATTTTAAAAGCGAGACGTGTGTTTTGCCTTGTTTGCCCGAAGACGTGTGTCGTTTTTACTTTTGAATTGAAGGATGCTGAAGAAAACGTCGTGAGGAAACCTGGACTTATAATTTCTAATTATAGGTCTGAAATCCCCAATCCACCTTGAGCAAGCATGGTGATTGATGTTCAAACTTTCTCCGTGTGGGAAAAAGCCTTTCCCCAGCTGTGGGTATTTATAGGCAGTTGGCTGATGATGTGATGCGCTATTGATAAACCGGTTGGGTAATATATTGTTAAATCAATGTTAAAGATTTTGCAATTGTCCTAGGTTCGATGCTTGACAAATTCAATAATCTTACTACTAACTTAATGTTTTTTATTGTAATAGAATGTCTGCAATGCGTCAATCTAATATAATAAATAGGTGAAATTTGTAATTTTGTAAGTTTGTATCCAAAGATTATCTAATCTTTGGAACCAATGGTCGGATTCCTAAAATTCTTTCACCGGTAGATAGCTACAATGTTCCTGAGTGCTATAAAACGCACTAAAATTATCAATAAATGGAGCAGAGCAGCGGGTGAAACCACGCGAGAGTGGCTAGTTAATTATAATTCAGTCATTTAATAATAATCCGGCATAGGTTACACACATATAAGATCTCCATTTTTTATGTTATGTAAGTAATATTCGTATAATATGTTATCTCTAACGTCTTTTATTCCGCAAGCTATTTTTTCATATTATGTGAGTATTTGCTTCATAATTTTAAGCTTATAATTTATCTGCTACTACTTTATACTTCATAATAGTATTTTAATAATATTTTTACTTTAATTATTCAATTTTTTACTTTCGGTAGAACGTTAAAATAATTATTGGTAGAAATAAAAATATAGAAATGTCAACACTGCGTAATTTTTTTAAATTCTTTCTTCCGGTTGCCAACACCAAGGCAAGGTGGGTTTTCAGACAAAGCCACATGGTTTTATTTGTGAAATAATTGTATTATTTAGGAATAAAGTGTGTGTTGTCGAATTTTGTAGCCCAAGGTAAGATTCGAGTGATAAATGTGGTAATAGCATAACTTGGGATACAAAATTAACTATAGTTAAAAGTGGACCGCAACGCGCACGAAATGTCATGTGTAATTTTTAGGACTACATCATTTTATTTCAGTGAAATTTGTGCTTTGTGATGCTATGCAGTATTGAATATATTGTTTTAAGTTATTTAGTGACGCGATTGTATAGTTATTGAATTGTACTTCATTCGAGACCATTTCATAACCTAACTTTTTCAGTTGTTGTATTTTGTGCACCCAGTAGTATTTAACGTAAGCTCGAATAAGCTATGAGCTGTAAAATATATACATGATGAACCATTGTTAACATTAACGACTTTGTATCTGGTGGCTAACCTGTCTTTAATGCATAAGTTGTGTTGTTGAAATACTCTGTGTATATTGAATATTCATTATATTTAGAATGAATAAAAACCTCACGTTGTATTAAGTGGCCTGAATAGCCCTTAAGGGATACTTTGTTATTAGCTAAAATGTTGAGGAAACATGATTTAATAAAAATCTATGTTTTCAGATGCGTTCCGTCACATTGAAGGATGTTGAACAGGACAAGGTCGTCAAGACCGTAGCTGCCCATCTAAAGAAGTGAGTACATTGTACATCTAAACTGATCCATTATAACACTCAAAGTTTGTTGTTTGGCATATTGCTTTGAAGCATTGATGTTACCTCTGCTTGTTTGTAGGACAACAAACACCACTTAATTTCTATAGGTATTTTGATCTGTAATATGTAGTTTATTGCAAATTATAGTGTCTTTAGCATCATATCAATGTTATTAAGGCAATTTAAACATTTTTGTTAAGTTTTAAATTTGATGTAGTCATAGTCAGTTTGACTAGTCCGTTGGATTGTATTTAATTTGCTCTGATGTTTTTTAAATAAAGATTATAATTTATAAATAAATGATGTGGAGGTTACAGGTTCCATTAGAGCGCTAAGTAAATAACAGATTATACTGCATCTAGCCTGGGCTAAAGGTTATATGCTTTATATATGTAGTTCTAATTTGTAACATTATTTATGCATAATGTATTTAAATTTGAGGATTAAATTGAGTTGTGGTAAATCACTTCTATCTAAATATTGCTATTATTAAGATCTTGGAGTGATCTTATTTTCAGACATCAAGCTTAATCTGTTCTCTCTCGCCTAACCCTGGGCGGGAGAAGTCATTTGATGATTTACCCCTGACAAAAAAAAGGCCTAATCTGTTAAATGCCAGACTAAATGCTACTAGGCACATATCTACTGAAGATTTTGGAGAAAAGTAAACCTTGCCAAACATTGCTTTAGAAATTTTTAAACTTATAGAATTTGAAATGTAATCATTCAATTATATTAGGTATATATATGTATATAGTACATTTTCTTTTTAATCCCAAGAACAGGATAAAAATTTAAAAAAAAAAAGATATCTGGATACCACTGCTTCTTTTATGTTGTTGTTGTCTTTTACAATGTAAATATTATTTCTGTGTGTGATCTTCAATAATAACTTAAGTAAAGGTGTATTGTAGTTTCATCCTTTTCCATAAAAATAAAAATCCTTCATTTGGATATCCATGGCAATTGTATGAAGTTATAAACAATCTATTGATGATTAACCTCTTATCTGCTGGTATATGAGAAACAACAGAAAACACATTGTGTCTCACATGGATCTCTGCTTCATATTATCAAGGGTTGATTTATAAAAATCATTAATGTAAAAACTATTTTTTTTTTCAGGACGGGTAAGGTCAAGGTTCCAGAGCACATGGACCTTGTAAAGACTGGTCGTTTCAAGGAGCTGGCTCCCTACGACCCTGACTGGTTCTACGTCAGGTGTGCTGCCATCCTCCGTCACATCTACATCCGCTCACCTGTTGGAGTCAAGACTGTCACCAAAATCTTCGGAGGTCGCAAACGTAACGGAGTCACACCCTCACATTTCTGCAGGTAATTTTTAACTTTATTAAATTTTGTTTTACCTCAAATGGTCATTTAATTTATGCATACCTTTTTATATGCAAATCTATGTCTAAGTGAGCTTTATCTAGGTGTTTTACATATAATTTTGACATGTAAAAGTGCAGTTTTATGGCCTATTTACAAAAATAAATTCATTGTTTTATTGTAATCATTATCTTTTCTTATTACCAACAACCTTGTGAAAATAGGTTTACAAGATTGGATTACCATAATTTGAATCAAGAGTGTGAATCAAAGTAATTGTCACTCAAAAATAATTATTATAATATTTTTTTTATACCATTTCAGGTCATCAGGCAGCATTGCCCGTAAAGCCCTCCAAGCTCTCGAGGCCCTGAAAATGGTTGAGAAGGGACAAGATGGTGGTCGCATTCTCACTGGTCAGGGCAGACGTGATCTTGACAGAATCGCTGCACAGGTCCGCCTAAAGGCTAAACAGGCCGCCAAGCAGCAAGTCATCGTTCTGTAATTTTATGACCAATAAAAAAATTATAAAACCTTACTTGTGGTTTATTTTCATAATTAGAACTTAAGCAGAACATTAAATAGATATCTTGTAAGTTTTCTAAACAAGGGAGCTCTATGCTTGGACACATAGGCCGGCTCGACCAGAGTACTACCATAGCCTCGCAAAAAATTGTGTTTATTACTAAACAGCTTAGAGCCCAGAGTTTTTAGCCATTGTACTTGCGCTGGAGTTTCTGAACGTATATTTACGGAACGGACGTCCAGTGTTCCAAGATCAAAATAGTCTAGTTACCAACTTACAACTAACACTATCCACGACCACCTTGAGACAGCAAAACTGGCTGTTCTTGACTGAGACACAGATTACAGATACCTATCGTCGGATACATCTTACCTTCCCGGGCTCTGGACTGGCGCCGGTATAATCTTCAAGAGTGTGCTCCTTATTTAAAAGGCTGGCAATGAACTTGGGACTCCTCTCTGGATGATACCCACTCATAAGCAGCGCTACGCGCTTGCTTGCCATCACCATGGTAACGCTTTGTGTACAGTTGCTGAACCTTCTCACTCCTCGGCAGTCAGGTGCATCATTGCGTTTATCATAATGTTTAGCATACAGTGTGACACGCGCTAGTTGACTAAATGAATTGAGATGAGCTGTTACGTCTGTAGTCGTTCTGACTTGTTCCGTTATCTAAAATGGTCTGAAGTGTAAAATTCATGGGAAGCAAGTTTAAAAACACCCTTTTTTCCAAAATATCCGTATTTTGGATAAAATAGATAAAACGAGTATTTATCGTCCGCCCATAGCTATGTACCCATGTGTAGAAAAGTCCGACGTGTCCCAGGATTATAAACAAAGAGTGTAAGACAAGTGTGTAATACATACCTACATAGGCTACATACATTAATAATACATCATACATACATGTAATAAAAACAAAAACATGAGTAAGTGTGTGGGAGAGCTATACTTCGGCATGAATGGGTTGGCTCGACCGGAGTGATACCACGGCCTCACAGAAAAACGGCGTGCAACAACAACAACGTTAGTGAGGTCTATTATTTATCGGAGGCTCTTCCCCACCCCCAATCCCTAATCCCCAAATGGTCGGCAACGCACTCGCAACTCCTCTGTTGTTGCGGGTGTCCATGGGCGGCGCTGATTGCTTACCATCAGGAAATCCTCTCTCTCGTTTGTCGACCTATCACATAAAAAAAGAATAAAACTCTTGGATCCCGCTACGAAATAAAATAGAAGGTACCTATTTTTTAAAAAGAAAACAGTTCTCTAGATTTTGAACAAGTAATAAAAATAATTGTTTTTTATAGCAACACATGCAAACACTTCAGTTGGAAACGTCAAAGTAAACGTCATGTCTTGTCAAATTTTCTAGTCGTTTGTAGCTAACTTCAGATTCTGTGTTCACAGATCAACGCAGTTTAGTTCCTTTGAAATATTGGATTCGTTTAGATGTGCTTTGGACATGCAGTGATTACAAAATGTTGTTAGTATTTGGACGTGGAATCGGTTTCATAGTTTTACTGAGTTTGTTATCGTGCGTTGTATGTTTGCGTCAATATGGAACGCCGGGTAACACGTTATACGTAGCCGAAGACTTGGAGCAGAGTCGTGGAAAATTGCAAATTATCAATAGAAACACAGAGAATGAAGACGGATTTCATTTGGAAAGGAGAAAACGTGAAGCTGCAACATTAACGACTCCCGCTATACAGAAAAACATAAGTACATGGGTAATAGTCCATATCCTTATTAAACATGATTGCTACTTTTATTACTTTGATTTACTTACGAAGACCCGTATCATCCGTTCCACTATAAATATAATTTTGTTCTATTGTTTACTAAGCAATATTGTAGTATTGTTGACTTTCTACTATTTTTATCACTGAGTGACGATTTCTTTTGTCTGAAGACTGATATTTCAGACTAGAAGGTCGTGCACATTTATTATTTGTATTTATAGTTGTAAACATCCTAATTTAATGAGGCGTACATTTTCATAATGACTAAGCAGTTTGAGGGTATTTTTATATCAGGTTTTTAATAAAAGTAGGTAAATGATAATTTGATGCTAATATAACGTGTTATCTGACTGTGGTAATAAATTTCATTTACAAAACTAGTTACACTACACTGATTACTTGCATATACAAATCAGGAAAAAAATACATGTTTACATCAAATTTTCTAAATTTATTTAGAGTGCAAACAAATCTAACAATAGAATAATATTTCTGCAAACACTGACTGTAACTTGTACAACCATACTTTCACTTGTGCAGCAATTAAACAGTTATTTTTCCACAGACAACTCATCTAAATGACAGTCATCAGCAATTGATGGTCCACTGGGTGGGTGAAGGGTCCAATGTGATCATCTGTCTGGCTCGGGACTCTAGTCCTAGAAACAAAGGAGGTTTATCACCATCAGCACTCTTTATATCTTATGACTATGGCAAGAACTTCACCAATAAGACTGAGAGCTTCAAACTGGGTGATGAGCCAGATAGTGGATATGCACAACTGGATAAGTTCTTCAACCATCCGAAATATCCTGAATTTGTGAGTACATTTATTTCATTCTAAATACCAACTGTTAATATAATTTGTCATTTTTTATTAATTTTATTTATGAATGTTCATAAAACTAGGCAAAATTGTTTAGATTGTGTATTCTTTTGCCATACAATTCTTTTGATTTTTTTATTCTTATATATTTTCTTTTAATTTAGTATGTATAATATTTTACTGGTAAATACTATTTTTTTCTATAGTTATTTCCATTGGAAATTGATTACAATTGCTGAAATGTTAATGGTACATAATTATATAAATTACTATGAATTTGTATTATTGTAATTTCTTTACAATTATTTATAGAAATAGATAAACATTTTACCCTACCGTAAGTAAGTAATATTTATTTACATTCATATCATTATGCTTGTGTATTTCTTTATTAAGTATTTACCTTTCCATTCATAGCTGTGAATGTGAATTATTCTTTAATAAGCACTTTAGAGTTTCAGTTATGTGAATTTTAATTCCATTGACCTTCTTTTTAAAAATTACATTAAAATAAGCATTAATTACCAAACTTTTAATTCAGTTAATTTTTAATTGAGCTAAGAAATTAAATATTCTAGAAGTTTGCCTTCATAATGGATGATTGACTTATTTTTTTTAATTTTTTTATTCATCATACATACTAAAGTTCTACTGTTTACAAAAAGTCTTTGTTTAGAACAAAAAGCCTAAATAAATGTCAAAAAACATTGACATTGCTTATCAAAGATAACACTTATTTTGTTATTCCCAATCTGATACCAGTTTGATAGCAACCTGTTATAAGCATACAATAGGATTAGTTTGTATGTAATACCTTTTTTTTAATTGGTTGAACTTTTATCTAACTGCTTTCATTTCATATTTTTGGTTTAAACAATCAATGCATTAAAATCGAAAGTTTTCTTAATTCCATATTTAAAAGGTAGATTGCTTGGTAAGTGGTTGGTAATGTAAAAAAAACAATTTATAATATGAAAATATTGTAGTTATAAGTCTGCTGTATATCATTAATCTGAAAGCACGAAACACTTCATTGCTTTTTAAAGTAGCTACATAACAAAATATAGTTTTTCGTGATTCTCGTCTTAGCTAAAAATTGGGATACGTTTAGTCAATATAAGTTTATTTCAGTGCTCAGATTGTCTATTTACAAACATGTATCTAGAAAGCGAAGATACCGTAACATGACCGAACGTAAGTGTTACAATATTGTGGTATCCACAAGATATCTTGTAACAAGTCACATAAGCTCGGAATCTTAACAGGACAGTTTGTGCTTCTATGGATAGTGGCATTCGTATCACGTGCGCAGTTCAATGAACTTTGCGGTATACCTAATGTCAAGGTGTACCGAGAAAAAAGACGATTGATAATGAGTTTTATTGTATTTTAGCTAATCTTGTTCAGTGAAGCATTTGTTGAGATTAGCGAGGTCAAATTTGCAGGTGTTGTTTGTAGTAATTAAATATTTTCTATGTGTTTAACAATAGAATAAAGCAAACAATAGAATCCCGGCTTCCGCTAAAAGACTTAAAATATTTTTTATAATAACTATCGTGAGACATCTGTGGTTCGAAACTAGTAGAGCTTTTCTCAATATTTACACTTGAGTAACCCGCGATTTTTAGTTAACTTAAAATATTGTTGGGAAAGCATGAATAATACACAAAAACATTCTATCATAATGCAAATAGCGAAAATGTTTACTGGCCTAATGAGCAACGTTAAGAACTCGAGGTCATTCACACCCAGGTAAAACAGACTGTGTGGTAATTCACGAACACTTCTTGTTTTATTTACTATTGTATAAATTATCGAGTGTATATTATCATTACAATAAAGCTAAATAATGTTCGCTAAATCGTTAAACAGTAATTTTTTAGCACTACATAGAATATGACTTATAATTTTGTTATTTATTATACCAGTGCTCATGTGAGGTTTACAGTTAGATTTGGGTGAGGTGATGCGAAGCAATCTTGCTTTTTATACACTTTATTCGCTCTTAGTATACATAGCTCATAGTATAATTGTAATAAGTCGAGCGTACGGTACATATCACACAAATTATAGTTCTTTAAAAATATAATAGGTCTTTGGAAAAAGAATCCCTTGTTTTTAAAACAAAATTAATTAGCCCTAGCCTAACAAAAACTATTTTGATTTGAAATGGCCAGTACTGCAGAACGGCAATTTCATAGGTATAGACCTATTATACATATTAAAGACAAGCTTTTGCCCGCGACTTTGTTCACGTGGAATAGTGACTTTCTGCAGATTTTTCGTTTAAAAACTATCCTATGTCCTTTCTCGATTTTTAAACTATGTCTGTACCAAATTTCACACCAATAGGTTCAGTAGTTTAGGCGTGAAGAAAATACAGACAGAGCTATTTTCGCATTTATTAGGTTGGATAATTAAATACACAGGAAAGATACTGAAAATATTGTGAATTTATAAACTACCTACTATTTTATTTTGCGTTTTAATGTGACTAACTAGGCAAATAATCTGGGTTTCAAATTTGGTAATTCTTGATATAAAATAAAATAAATATGAATTGCAATAACGAATAATTGACTTCCGGTTAGCAGTTAGTCATAATGACGTCATAACGGTATCATATCTGTTTCCTACGTTTTTATTAGTATTTTATAAATAAAATATCCATCACAGCTTCCGACATCCTACAGGATGTCCAACTTAGTATTTAAAAATATACGATCGGAATTCGTCTCCACGTTTAATGCAACGGCTTTGATTCCCACAGAAAAATTCGTCGTGTGTTCATAAATTGATATTTCGGCTAATAATAAACTGTTCTAACACACCCAAACAAAGTTTAAAACTGTAGAATAACAATTAATAAAACATACTTACTTATTTCAATTATACATATTTCATTGTATCTTGCCAAATCTTATGTGTGTGTATGTGTATTCATGTTATTGTTTTGTACGCAGTGTGTGTTCGTGGACTCGACAAACAAGAAGCTTTTCTACACGAGTGACAATGGACGCACCATCCACCGTTCGGACCTCTCTTTCCACCCCAGCGAGCTATCTTTCGACGAGGAGTTTCCCGACAAATATGTTATTTTGGACAAAGTCGTCACTAACAGAAAAGTAAGCTTAACTCTCTTCCTATGTATCTGCATTATTACGATAAATTCACAAGCTGGCTTAAAATCCAAGCGCAATTTATTTTACGCAGAAATAGGAAATAATAAATAAAACTTAAAATGTTTAATACAGCTTGGATTTTAGACCTGAGGTCTGCTCAGCAATCGTATTTGTTACAACAGAATCAACGACACGATTCAAGATTTTTTAGGCTACTTGCTCAAATGTCTTTTATTAGGTTTATTTACCAGGCAGTACCACTACTAGTACTATTGCAATTTGACTCCAATATATGAATGACTTAACATAATAATGTAAGTACATATAAGAAAAAATGTTCATTGTAAACTAAAATCACAGGCAAATTTTTGTCCACGCATTTTGAAACGCAAACATATAATCTCCCAGTGAGGTGGAAAGTGACGATTTGCCGTAATACGTGTAGTTACCTTTGTTTAATTAATCGACATTCTGCAACTAAATAAGATTAAGAAATTTCGAATTATTTGAAGTCCTGAGGGTCAGCCAGTTGTGTCCGTACGTGGCACAATAACGGAGGACATGGCCGAAGGGATGTCACCAATCATGTGCTTATATTGCCGTTTGACCGTCATGTGACTAGCGCGGTTCCTAATGGCTGAATGCATATTGATGTAACTACACCGATTTGACCTGTCAGTGCCCATCAATCTTTTTAGGAATGGATTTATTTTTGTATTCTTTAGCCATTTCACCTGATACTTATGGTAATAGTGAGCGTATACCGACGTGTAGTTAATGAATGTTAAGATGTTAACATAAACATAATTGCAACGTTTTCCCGAATTTTAAAGGTTCCTGAAACTATAAACTTTTTGACCGCCATAGTCGGCTACAGACGACAAACAAAAAATAGGCTATTTCGCCAATGTCGAGCAAAGGCAACCAGAAAACGGCATAAATAAATATTGTCAGCTGTAGCCGACCATGTCGGTCATAGGGTTAAATATGTTTTTACCAATATAGATTACCTAACAATATAATGCTCAGTATTTGATATTCTCTTTTTTATCTCTATAGCTGTACCTGACCCTAGACGGAGGTAAAACGTTCAAGATGATCCAAAGTTACGTGAAAACCTTCTTCTGGTCTTCGGGACCTGGTTTCTCCAAGGTGTTTTACATGGAGCGGTGGAAGCCTGATGGGACGAGCACAGTGTTCAGTGCGAGTGATCCGACCGACCTGGTCAACGCTGAGATATTGTTCGAGGAGGCCAAAGACTTCCAAATCAAAGGAGATTACATGTTTGCCACCAAACAATCCAAAGACGTAAGTTTTCTTTTTACTTTAAAGTTATAAATGCGAATGTTACTGTATTTATGTTTCATGATTTGAGCCGTTAACTACTGGACAAAATCTTGCGGCGACCTAGCTTAGCTTTTATTGTTTGAATTAATTATGATTTTCTTAAAGTAGTATTTGCGACAACAAAGTAAACTATCTTTAGACCACACAGTTGAATGTGCACTCTTAAAGTAAGGTCATAAAAATTACTTAACTTGGAGAGAAAGTCTCGCCAAAACACGTTTTGCTACTTTTGCAGATTCGTACCGTTACGATAAAAACAAAAAGTACTAAAGTGTTTCATAGTAATGAGAAAATGAACTTACGGGACTATAATAATAATCTATAGTTTTTGCATCGTTATCGGTAAAGTTAGGCATTGACATTGAAAACTGGAAAATATGGTTTGCACAATTTTTTACGTAGAAAGAATTCCACACCAGTCAGTAACAACTTAACGAGTCACCTTTCATAGGTCATAGATGTAAAGCATAATATTTGTTTAGAAAATTTACGTCAATTAATTATCACTGATAAAGTCCATATCACATTGACATAGTCTCGAGTGTTGGAGAACTCTAACGCTGTCAGGATTTGGGAAAATCCCAGTTGTACCTAACTAGCTGACAAACTGGTTTAGAATAGCTCGTACGATGCACGTCTATAAATAGAACTGCAGGTGCTTGTACCATTAGTGAATAAACAAATTACACATTCAGACGGGAACGATACTCGAAACCTTGACAATGGTTACTCTCACTAACCAGCGACGCAGGAAGCATTTAATAAATAAGGCATTGCCGATAAACTTATTCCTGCGTCCGACGATATGTGACCTCGTAGGTCAGCCAAACAAGCAATTTCCCTTACACCTCACTATGAACTCTTTGTTCGCACCTAAAAATAGTTCGACATCTCTAAGTTGTGGGTACAATATGTCGTTGTATCCGATTATTCTGTTATCAGTCGTTAACTCATGCGAAAGTAACATGTGACGATATAATTTATGCACAGAACAGTGTCCTATCGATTGTTTTCACACAGGCGTATTCAGTACATAGCTCCTACTGTTTCAAACAAGCTAGACATTATTAATTTTCAACACGTAGGTACATTTATTAGGTATTAAATTGTGACCGCAAAATGTCTGATTCATAAAGATGACGCACAGTCGAAGCAGACCGCTTACTTCAATGAGATCGAACTCAACTGTTTACACATTAATCTAGTAGAATTGCTGCATGGCATTTTGCAAGTTTGATATCATTATTTGACAACTTTATTTTTCAACGTTTACCTTATAAATAAAACAATGTTTATCGCCCAATTGCCTACATAATATATTAAAGGAAAAAGCAATTCGCGGATCGTGTTATTCTTATTAGTCAATGAATAAAGCAGATTTAATATTAATTTAGTTTATATCGTTGGCTCAACTGAGTCACCAATTAAGTGTCATCCAGCAGTATTGTGGTCTACCGTTTAGTCAGTACACCCCTCGGACTATGTACGTACGAATAAATGTTGTACACGGCGCAAGGAAGTATCTTGTCAAGCAAATAATGCGGCAAATTGTCCTTCTTCAACTGGCTCCTTGACGATCTCGAGTATTCGTATGGATTACTCGAATCACCTCAGTTGATACGATAATGTCCCACTTTGGATTTTATTATGACTGCAACTAAGTAAACGCATGTGTGTGTATTAGGTTATTGACACGACATTATTGTTTGTATCGAAACGCGGTTCTAGTCGACACTTCGCCCCCGCACTCAGGCGATCTGTTTATTACTTAAAGTTGTTGTGGCGATGTCGTGCCGGTACCCAACCGCTAATATACATATTGATGTTGTTGATAGTTCCAATATTTTTGTTGACTCTTCAATTCATTTATATTTAACACCTGTCATTTTCGTGGAGTCGATGATCTAGGATCCACACTTTTGTGGATTAAATTATATTATATGCGTGATGCGTCACACACGAAGAAGCAATTTATATACAACTTGAAAATTGAAGGAACTGTATTTAAAATTATGTTGTGTACCTATTTGGCATAATTTATCTAGAAAAATAAGTTGTGAGAAGTTTGTTATTGTCAGTTTTTACAGTTCTCTTGATTAAAGCTTAATTTAATACGTAAAAAAATATCGCAGTGTAATGAGTTCATTTAAATAAAAAAACATACGAGCGGTCAAATTGAGAACTTCCTCCTTTTTCGAAGTTGGTTCAAAATAAAGAACTTCTTTCCATTCGTAGGTTGTGTTTTTGTCACCAATTCAATAATTAAACAGTAATGCCAGGTTTCCGAAAGCCCGATCAATGTTAAAATTAACTATAACTAGGTGTCAAATCTCTTGTCAAGTCATCTGATTGGTTGTTGATAATTCAGTCAACCAATCAGATGACTTGACAAGAGATTAAATTGATTTTAACATTGATCGGCCTTTCGGAAACCGGGTGTAAGCGTTGTCTACATTAGTATAATACATAATGCACGTAGAAATAAGAATAACAAAGTGTCTAGAATTCTCAGCTTAAAGTGGAGGCCAGGTTATTAGGTCAACAATATAATTATTTTAGTCCTACAACTTTAAAAAGTGAGCGTTTGTTTGCACACAAACGAGGTCATTCACTAGACATGATAGTCTACTAAAGTACCAAAAATAAACATTTAATGTTATAGAACGGTAAAACATGGAATTGTCTCACGATAGTACATTTTTGTAAATAATAATTTTATTTTAATACCGAATAACACGATTTCGCCTAAATAATATGTTTAGGTACTACATGTGTTATTTAATATTATTTTCCTCACAATACCAGTATTGATCTGAACCCGATTTTACAGATATTAGGTAATCTTTTTTTATATTAGCGCGTGTACGTATGCATTTGTTTTGCGATGAATTTCGTATTAGGATTGATTGAAGCGAAATATTTGTTTGTTTCTTACATTTTGTTATAAATGTTTTGCGAAAGGGAAGTAGTCTAATATTTAGTACCTCAATTTGAAGCATGGGTGAAAATGGGAAGGAAATAAATAAATCCAATACATAAGGGTGCGAAGTTATAGAATATACTCGTGGTATGTCGTATGGATGACGTCAAAATGAGATGCATTTCTCTAGAAATAGGGACGACGTCGACAGTAGGAACGCGATGGGCGTTGAAAGCGATTTTTGCACGGAATTATCAACTAGTTAATCGGATGGTCTTTAGGGAAATTTCTGGTTAATATTTTGGCTGTGGCTTTTGATAATTGTTCGACTTCTTTAGTTTTGTGAGGGGAAAATCATGCAATTAAGTACTTCTCTTGGCCAGGGTGTGTTAGACCCTTACTGACTAAAAAACCCCCCGTTCCTTCTCCTAGTTTAGGCCAAGGCTTCGGTACCTTATTGCGCTAGCGGCTAGCGCCACAATCCTTGATAAATATTATTGTAGTAATCTGAAATAGTTGACCGTGAATAATTATTCATGAATTTGTCAAAAGCTTACTTAAGTGATTTGGTAAATGTTTTAGATCCTGTGGCCTTATTCAGCGAACGATTTTGATTCCACAAGAAATTAAAAATTACACATCTAATGTTCTAAACTAATCTACAAGACAAACCTTTAAAAAAATAAGAAACTTTATTCTTTCTGTAGCATGCACTTAATAATAACTAAGACGTATTCACATATTGATCTATTGAGGAAATATCTAGGTCACTGCTCAGTGTTAGGTATTATAAAAATATTCTGAAGTTAATATTGGATCTTGAACTTTATTCCAAGATTAATTAATACTAATCGGTTTTCGTGACGATGTATTAAAAGTATCTTCATGAATATTTGTTTTAAGTGTCAATTTCGGGTGTTTACTTTGATTACTATTTTTAGTAGGGAGGTTGTTGCTTGGAAGTTTTAGGTTTCAAATTGTTGAGTCCTACAAATGATAAAATCTGTATATGTATCCAACAATGACAGATTCAATTTTTCAAAGAAATTACGGGGAACTAGATTCTTAAATTTAAAGTGCTCCAGCAGAGGATGCAAGTATTTAATATAGTTTGACCTTATAATAATTTATAATGCGAGACTAATTACAATAGCCACGTATATAATATTACTTAGTAAGTACCTACGTTAGTACTAAATTATGCGGCTCGCATTTCTATGAATCAACATTACCAAAGGTAAAGTTGATTCTTAGTAACTGCGCAGTGACTTGTAGGTAATTGTTGCGATTCTGTACCTTACAGTAGTCATAATTTCCTATCTATCCTGTAATGAGGTAGTTACCAGCGTTTTTTTCTGACTAGACCAGTTTCCTTGTATTCAGCAAGAAACAATAAATAAATACCTACATTAAAAAACACGTAGTGATCAATGTAAGGGTTATTTATGTTATAAGTTGGCAAACGAGCCGAAGGATTACCTGATGGTAAGCAATCAGCGCCGCCCATAGACACACGCTATACCAAAGGAGTTACAACAAGTGCGTTGCCGGCCTCTTGTGGACTTTTAGGGATTTAAGGATAGGGGAGTTGAGACGTAACAACGTAAGTCTTGCTTCACGCCGTTTTTCTGTGAGGCCGTGGTATCACTTAGTTCGAGCCGGCCCATTCGTGCAGAAGCATGGCCCTCCCACACATAACTTGTGTATTATGAAAATGATTCTTGACCTAATATCGTCTTATAAAGCGTAATTCCTTTTAAGTTTTAAGCAGAAATCTCAACAGGGTTGTTAGTACTACATAGGGTTTATTATATTACCTGCTTTAGTACTTTACTTTAACTTTGAGCGTTTGAGGTTTCTTAAAAAGTTTTTAGTCAGCAGTCAAAAGGTACTTAATAATATAAAATACTTGAGCTGCCACTTGACACCCGCAAGCTTACTAAATAGTACTCGAGGAGTCAAATTTTGAAACTGTTGAAAGATCTATTCATTTGAAGCCTTATCGGTAGAGCTTAGGTTGATGTCATCGTTTTTGTAATTCGATGTTTGAGTATTTCAGTTGACATAAACAAAGGTTTCAAGTTGTGTTGTGGGTGTAATACTGCGATGTCAAGATCTGGTGATAAATGACACCATTCGCTTGTATCGCAGGTTTTTAAAAGCACTTAAGTGCTTGCACTAAGTTGTTTTTAAACTAGATAAGGTAATGTTGTAGTGTGTGTATTTTACTTACTAAACTAAACATCAAAATACTTACAAAAAGTATTTTGATGTTTTTATTTATTGGTTTAATAAAGGTGTGAAATGGGTCCGAGACCCTTATACTTTATTCTGTTCACATAATATTATAGATTACCTCTTTCATTTAGGCTCATGTATAGATGCGTTTACCCCCTTTATTCGTCGCGTTCCCTCCCCATACGACCTACCTATTGCTGTCTTTTTCTTATACTATGCTTGACGGCAAGAGTCGAGCTGTACGGACGCTCGCGTGCTTGCTTTTATATTCTTATCACAACCATGGAGTTTGTTACTCTTTCTTCTTCATTAAAGGCTCTGGAACGAGCTATTAGCTTCACTAAGCGGACTGACCAATAGACTGGCATTTTTATCGTTAATCTTTGTTTGACGATCAAAAGTGCCTGTAAGCGTCTAATTCAAATAAATGATTTTGAATTTGATAACCAACCTCCTTTGTCTATGCGGTAAGGAAAAACTACAAGGCATAGAAAGAAATTACATATTTTTTAGTAACTACAGTTTGGGTACATTACTACAAATTACGTGTTTGAGGTCTAGGTATGCCGATTAGTTTCATAATACATACTTAACTCAAGGTTTTATTTTACGTAGGTATTCTAATAGGTACCCTCGACCTCCTTAGAAATTGTCATTGACCATGTACACACCATTTTATTTATTCGGTTTGCATACTATCTACATATTAGTGTACCTTAACGGTTTTAGGTTATAAAATATACATAATTAGGTCTCTGTATAAGGTATACGCGCTTTATTTCTTCCATGCCCACAACATTATGCATATGTTGCAAGTAAAAACAAAATAACAATTATGTTTAATAATTTATTAAACAGTTTTAGGTACTTATTAACAAATATTGTCTAATGTATGTATTTATTATTTATTATTCAATTATTCATGACATTCTTGTTAATGTAGTTAGTATGATTCATATGACTGACTTAACTTTTATTATCATTTAACGGAATTCTTTCTTATTTTCCCCATAAAAGAAACATTGTTCAATTTAATTTATTACATTTATATGTAGGTTCTAACTTTGCAAAAGGCTTCGCTCGGGTCATAAAAGATTAAAATAGTGTCTGTCTCTAGAGTTTGACTAAGCTATGGTTCTCCAATTTATTAAATGGTTTAGACGTCAAGGTATCGCAGTATTGCCTATTTTTATACTATTTATATTCAAACTGTGCATATACCTATATTTATAAATGTATAGGTAGGTACAGAATTTATAATGTGAATGTGACCCATTTAATTCCTTAGACCTGAATGTACACACATTGCCAAAATGTATTTCCATCTCTTTCTAATATATCAATCCATGTCTCAATTATTTGAAACAATGTTGCAACATATTTGTTAATAGTCATTATTCAATTAAACATACAAGGCCAATATTTATATCTTGATATTTAAAAGTAAATAATAATATATTAAAGTTTAAACAAATTAATCTTTAATACTGACCAATTTTAAATCTAACGAAATGGTTATACTGCGTCATGTTAATGTAAAATTGTTTATAAATAAACAATTGCAACAAAATGCTATTAATAATTATTTATACGATCTTGAAGATGGCAGGGGGCAACTTAGACTCAAACTTTATTTCTAACATAAGAAATATGTTAATAAAGTTCCATTAATACAACAGACACAAAGTCATAGTTTAGTATGTCATGGAAACACCTAGTTTTTGTATTAATAACAATTACATATTATTTTGTCCACACTAAAGTCGCCATACATGTTATAAACAAAACATTATGACCATAAATTAGTATTTATTTGCTATAAACTTATTGTAATGATGGTGTAAAATTACAACTGTATTTTATTAAAAGTCATGTGAAGGCACATAAAGCTATACGCAATTATTAACTGACATTGAAAGCGTATTATCGACGCATTGCAATTTTGCTTGCGTTTAGACGCAGTGGGCTGAATAAATACTGCACTTAAGTGCTTTAGTTCTTGTAATACTGTAAAACAACAACTGTATTTTCACACGTAGGTACTAGCGTGTGTAAATACTACAAGAACCCGGTTCCGATGCCCTGGTCACGTTTTGAAATTGTCTCCTAAATAAACTTGGTGTACCTAATTTAATTTTGGAATAGTAGGCATGTTACGTAAAAATAAAAAACGCCGTGGCCCGGAGGTAATAGTACCGGCTTCTCATGCATTGGAGTGCGAGTTAGAAACCTTCTCCATTTGAGAAGAGGCCTTTGTTTAGCAGTGGGCACATAAAGGTTTATGAGGTTGAGAAATAAATGGTGTGTTTGTATACAGACGGCTGAAAGAAAACATTTGTCACTTGCCACCCATAGAACCTGTTTTACAATGTCTGAATAACCGCTACGTAGGTACTAGATGCATTTGAATAAAGAACGTAATTTGTATGAAATACGTGCCACGTAAGTTAATCGAGAATTTATATGAAGATGGCAAAATAGTTTAAGATTTCCGCGGTTTATAGTAAGAGCCGATTTTGGCACTACATATTTAACACAATCTGGGTAGCTTTCCCCTCGTTTTAATTCTTTCTATGTGAGTAATTGTCACTGAGTATAACGGGGTGTTCATTGGATAAGGAATTTCAGATAATCACCAAAGAGTTGTATGTGTATATGCACACATTGAAGATAAACTCTTTCCAAATAGTCCATGATCTTTGCTAAGTAGAATCAATTTGAACTTCTCGTCATCTTAAGTGTTTGTTATGTGGTTGACGACAGGTTTTCAATACTTGAACTGTAGGAAATTGATTAAGTGCGAAGTTTTACCGCATGTGAACAGGTTTTATGGTTTAGCGTCAAGCTTGTACGAAAGTTTGAAGGTTGAATGCCGTCTTGTTGTGTTAACACTACAATTTGTAGATAGTATTTTACATATACCATCTAAGCATATATTAATATGCTATATGAGGAAGGTCATTTGTTTTTTTTTTTATATAACCAAACGGCTTTCTTGTATAAAGCCGATAAAACGTTTGTTGAGATAAATAGATTCCTTTTTTTGAAATTAAGGATTTAAAAGTCTTCTGTTATTTAAATAGGTAACGCTTGTTTTAATTCAAAGGATATTATTTTGCGGAGTTATGCTCAGAGACTTACATCACATACTATAATGTACATTTTTTTCTTTTCAGAGAAACACACTAGATCTGTACATTTCACATCAAAGAGGACCATTCTACAAAGCTATGTTCCAAACTGAATTAGACCTAAAAAGATTCCACATTGCAGACGTTACAGACAAACGTATATTCGTCTCTGTCATGCACACTGATGCCCTAGCGAATTTGTACGTGTCAGAGATAAGCAACAATTTCACGCAGTACAACTTTGTGTTGAGTTTGGAACAGATTTTGTGCTATTTCCCCGATGCTAACTGGAAGGACAGCTGGCTTGAGTGAGTATTACTTGAGATAGTGCAGTACTGAGACATACCTTTCAAACTGAAAAGGTTGTTAGCCTTTCAAATTTTCCATTAAACAGTTCATACTTCTGTTTGTGTATGAAATGCATTTTTTACGTAGAGCGAGCGTTCCCGTCGAAGGGAATGGCTCTTTGTCACCTGTAACCTTGTCTGCAAGGACAGAGAGTATTTTGGCTGCAGAAATATTTTATTTTCGTTTCAGGAATGTCATTTTGAGGTGACATTCACAAACAGATCAATCATTTCGAGTATAAATATTTTGAGTAAACAAAAGGGTATTTTTCAGGGATGTGACCGAAGATCCATTTACGGATTTGTACCGTGTTGAAGGATTGAAGGGAATCTACATTGCTTCGCGTGTGGACTCGAAGGCTCCTGTGGCTAATATTGGACCTGAACATTTGATCTCGCTGATTACTTTCGACCATGGAGTCACCTGGTCTCCTATTAATCCACCCACTGAAGATGAGAATGGTAAGACCCTTTTTCATTGTTTGTTGTAAAATAACATAACTAAGAATTAGTTTCATGGCAAAACTTCAAGGTTAGGTTTCAATCAAGATAAAATGCCGTAAGTAATTACTATACGAATAATTCTAGAAAAATCAGAGAAATCATTGTACGAGTAAAAAATGATTGTCTCAAAACCTTTATATTGTCTTAAACCCTTATATGTCATTTTTAAGCACCCTTTATTATTCCGAGTAATAACAAGGTGTGCAATAAAAAAAAAAAATGCAAAACAGGGCACTTGTAACTGTTTTTTTACTTCTGATAAGTGAAAATGTTAAGAAGCATGAACCAAGTTATTTCAGTTGCCATAATAAGTACGGTAACGATGTTTACTTGATACCTTATCGAGCAGCACTACATTGAATTTGCGGCGATTTTTAATTACGTTTCCTCAAGATTTATAGATCTGTGTTTTGCAATATAATGTTGGTATAAGCAATAATCTGTTATTGTTAGATTTTTCCTTTGTTTCTTCACTTATTATAGTAATAAGTTTGTTTTCATATTCCCATCCTTGTGCCTTTTTTTTTTTTTTTCTTTTACACTTTGACACTTTTTGACGCCATATTTGAAAATGTATTATATGACATTTTTTTGTATTATATGACATTGATCGACTCTAAATTATGTTTTCAACAATAACTGTAACTGTTCTCTGACATTATTATGTAAATGTTAATCAAGATAAGTTATAACGTCAAATTATTCAATGTATAAAGTATTAATTTCCAGTACCTATTTTTAGCTTCAAATTAAAATTTTTGCATGCCTACTGGTAAAATGTGGCTGAACCTACCTGTTTTTACTCTATCACCATGTATTGTACCCATATTTGCAAAATAAATGACTTACTTACTTACTTACTTACTTACTTACTTACTTTTTAGTTGTCTTTTTGGTTTCATATTTAAGATAGATTCTGTAGTATGTATTGATTTCATATGAACATTTTATTTCTAAATTATGAAATTATAAATGTAGCATAATAATATGCAATTGTATTGGTTTTCTACGGCTCATTATATGGATAAAAGTAATTACAGCAAAAAAATACTTACATCTATCTTTACTCAGTTCTTTTTCTATTTTTTAGCTCAAATTGTTTATTTTTCTCTTTTAACAGGTAAACCACTAAACTGTCACATTGAGAATTCTTGCAGTCTGCACCTATGTCAGAAGTTCAGCCAACTGTACCCAGTTACCAGGTAAGATCGACAAGAACAATAATAATACTGATATTTTACTCTTTATTTTACCATAAACATTATGCTGTCCAATTTTAAACTCAAATACAGCGGTTTAAGATTTAATTTCATATAATGTGCGCTTAGTTTGACGATTGTTAGGTTACCGTATCGATAACTTTAACTCGCGTTATCAGTTCCGTAACACGGTATAATAATAAATCGACTCGAATAATTAGTAACGCCCAAAATGTAATATTGCTTATCGGAATAATTTACTAAACTATTTCATGCCTAGATTAAGCTCATAATTAATTATAATATTTTTATGAATAATTATAATCCAATGTCATAATTTTTTATAGTCTGTTTTGTTGATAAACATTATGACAAGAATTTACAGATTTGACCAATTAATATAGCATAGTTAAATATGTTTCATTTGATAGTTAGTATCTGTGATGAAAAAACCCAGTAATTGACGCATTCGCCTAGCGATTATTTCATACAACAATGTTTGGGGGCGGTTATCAACATTACCAACTGGACTTTCCCTTAATGCAGTATATAGGAACTAGGAGTACTTAGACACTATGTGAATCAAATTATATAAACGCATCATCATTTTTGAGGAGCCTATCCACCCGAAATTTTAATTATTCGCCTGAGATTACCATTACATATTAACATAATTTTCTATTAAACAACTGCAAGCTCCGAAATCAAGATAAAAGTTTCTTTTCAAATAAACAAATTCCTACATAATATAACAATAAGTCGCTTTCTATGTCTCCTCTATGATATAAATCTATAATATAGTATAAATTAATAGTAATTCAACAATAAAAGGACACCGGCGTTCGTTTGAGATTTCCATACGGTTTTATAATAGATGTATTGATTGAATAGGAAGGTTTTTGATTTATAATAACAATCCTTAAATTAATGGAGAGATTTTGTATCAGCACTGCACCCGTACCGTACTGCGTAGCCGGGTTATATATGTATTAAGACTAATGGATCACACAATTCATACAATATACCTTTGTTTCTTTGTACTTTGTACGCGGTTGTTGACCAATGAACAACGATTTACACGACGCATACACACACACATAGAATTCTTAAAAACAAGAAATAAGATAGCTCATTATTTCTACAAAATAATTTCAATACAAAAATATATTTACGGAAAGAACGGCCTGTTTATCGCCGGTCAAAATAATGAACTTGTTGTTAAATTTATATGCTTGTCTACCTATGTGTATCATCTTAAAGATACCTTGAACTTTGTTGAAAATTTCTGATAATATAGTTATAAAAATATGTTTTTAAATACAATATATCTGTTTATTAAACGGTTTGTTGACCCGTTTCGAACAGGAAGGAATCTTGAGCAATTCCTTATCAATATAATCTAACTAGTTGATAATTGTACTAGATAAAATTATATCTTATACAAATATGTCACAGTTGTCATTGTTTAGATCTTGGCCAGGTAGAAACGATGATCCTAAATTCATTTCGTTAGTAGTTTTGTAGATTTTAAAATATTATAAATACTATATTACACACAATCAAAGAAATCAGTCGTGGATTCATTTTATTGTGTTGATACATATCAAATACATACCTAGTTACTAAAAAACTCAATTAAGTACACAAGTGAGGTATTTCCCTACAGATTTTCCAATAGATATTTACTGACCTAGCGTTATTTCATTTATATCACGACTTCTAATACAAACAACGTTAGTCACGTACTGACTAATCACAAGTATTATTCCAATAATAATAATAATCCAATAGTAGTAAAAATAAACTATATACAGTTTGTTTTCTTAGAAATAGACAATACTTTGCACTTTCCGCACTTGAGATGATGACTCATCATTCAACATATGATGTTTGTATAATAAGGTGCATCATCAGCCCCCTTAGTCGCCATAACAACCGTATTAGTTTGCGGTTTTTATATATTAGGAACATATTTTATATTTCTTTATTTATTTAAATAGAAAATATTAGAGCCAGCCTTTTGTATAGTTAGGTAACCCAGGTAATATTAAAAAAATGAAATCCAACGGTATTTAGAAGCAACGTGTTCATGTAATCTATAATATTAATTTAACAAAAAATGTAGGTAAGAAGTAGAAAACTTATACTAACAAATTTAATAGGATTAAATGGTATAACCGCTATAAAAAGTAAATATATTTGGGTTTAAAATATTAATATAGATGCTCAGTATGTAGTAATTAGCTAGGTGCTAAGTTAACAACACATCTGTGCTTGATGTTCTATGAGGGAAACAATATTTTCGTGATAGGGTCAAAACCGACACAAACGTAACGTTATCATCTTTCTATATGCCTTTTCTATAAATTATACCAAATATTATAGCATACTAGCACCCTCTTTGCTTCTCTATATTGACATTAAAATGTTGGGAAACTGACACATTAATTGTTACTTAAACCGTTATATTACTCACATAGTAATAATAATTATGTTTCATATAAGAAATATGCTGACAAAGATTAAAATTGCTTGCAGCCCACCTGGAAATGTGGTTGCGAACGGTTTGAGGTAAACTGACACGAATAGAGTGCATTATAGTTGATTATGCTTTTTGTTTAATTTGCACAGCACGAACTTATGTGTTTTCCCATTTTGTTTAAATCAGTTCATTGGTATATAAAGTTTGTGGTTACAATTGCTTCATTATGGTTTCATCCATCCATTTGTTAATAACATTAATAAATAGCAATAGTTTTTTTTATTCAATGTTTTATAATTTTACTGTGCAATAATGTAGATCTGGATTCAGTACACCATTTTAATATGTATTTGATTTGAGCATGCAATATTTGCTGGTAATTTGTTGAAGATGTAAGTGTTCACAGAGGGAATCTGGTGAATGTTTGGTGTAACATATTTCATAGCATGATAGAGGGTATCAATTCATGTTCTCTATTGTAGGTCCGCAAGTATAATGAGCTCGAAATCAGCACCAGGAATTATTATGGCCACCGGTGTCATGGGCAAGTCACTGAAAGGAATACCCGGCGTGTACATCAGTCGGGATGCCGGTCTCACGTGGAAGAGGATTCTCAAAGACTACTACTTCTTCAACTACGGTGACCACGGCGGTGTTCTTGTAGCTGTCAAGTACTTTAAATCTCGTGGTGAAACGAGAAAGATACTGTATTCAACGAACGAAGGCATCGAATGGAACTCTTATCAGTGAGTCACTGCTGCAGTTAGTGTTATCAATATTTAATTAATTATTGTGTTTGTCGTTATTAACAACATTAATTTGTAGGTTCAATGCCGATGACCTGCGCATCTACGGACTAATGACCGAGCCCGGAGAGAATACGACAACGTTTACTATGTTCGGCTCTGCAAACGATCAGCATCAGTGGATTATAATTACAATCGACCTACGTAATACTTTCGCCCGCAACTGCACTGATGCCGACTACAAGTACTGGTCTCCTTCACCTCCTAACTCCTCAGTCTCCTGTGTGCTCGGTACCAGAAACACTTTCCAGCGACGTCTCGCCCACACGAACTGCTACAACGGAATAGATTACGACAGACCATTCAAAAAGGAGACTTGCGAATGTAGTCGCAGAGATTTCGAATGTGATTTCGGATTCATGCTCGCTGGCAACGAATGTATTCATAACAAATCCTCAAAATATGACCCATACGCCGTTCCCGCAGATTGTCAGCCTGGTCATTTCTACTGGCGCACTAAGGGCTATAGGAAAATCGATGGAGACGTATGCAGTGTTTCTGGTTACATGGCGTACGTACCTGATTTAATCCCCTGTCCTCTTGAAGAACCAACAGAATTCATGTTAGTCGCCCTTGGCAATAAAATCGCTCGCATTGACCTGACTGAAAACTCGACTATATACCCCGTGGTGAACGAAAGGAACATTGTTGCCATTGAATTTGACATAAAGAACAACTGCATCTATTGGGCTGACATAGAATTGGATAAGATCAGTCGACAATGCTTCAACAACGGCACGACACAAGAGGTCATAGTCGACAGAGACCTCGCCAGCATAGAAGGAATGGCGTTTGATTGGATTTCCAACGTTTTGTTCTTTGTTGACGGTTTGAGGAAGAAGATTGAAGCTGTAAGAATAGATATGATCAAGGAAACCAGAATGAGAGTCACAATTTTGGATTCGAAAGTCTTATCGCGCCCCCGCGGTATTGCAGTACATCCAAAAGCAGGCTTTCTATTCTGGACAGACTGGGATAGGAACAACCCATCAGTTTCTAGGTCAAACCTTGACGGAAAGGATGTTGTGAAACTGTTCGGGAAGCCAATAGTGCAGTGGCCAAATGGCATAACAATCGATCAGATGTCGGAGAGGATATACTGGGTGGATGCTATGGAGGACTACATCGCTAGTTCTGATTTGAATGGCAAATACTTTAAACGTATTTTCTCCAACGACCAGAGGGTAACGCATCCATTTGCTGTAGCGGTACTAAAAGACAAGATGTACTGGGACGATTGGAAAGAGAAATCGATATTCGTTGCTGACAAAGATACTGGACTGAACGTGATGACGATTAATGATTCGTTTGTCGGTTTGATGGATTTGAAGGTGTTCGCTCACTTCGTGCAGTACGGCAGCAATGCCTGTTCGTACAAGAATACTAGTTGTGATACAATTTGTTTGGGTGGGCCGGGCAATACATTCAGCTGCCTGTGTCCTGATGGGCTGACGATGATTGGTGGCAAGTGCATGTGTTCCAACAACACGGAGCCTTACGCGAACATGACGTGCCCCGAAACTGCAGTATCTACTTGTGGACTGGTAAGTTTATTTCCATTTAGTTAGTTTTATTTTTAGGGTCATACATAGTTGGACGTTGATTGAATTTCTTTGTTATGATTTATACATTTTATCAACGTTATCGCTCTAGTCACGTCAGTAATAAACTGATTGTGAGGGCCAGGATTAGTGTTATCTACGTAGGTATTTATTTTTGTAATGTAAACAATATTAGGTAAATTATACACTAAATTTTGATTTGAAATATTAGATTCCTTTGTTTTTAGTTTAGTCGTTTGATTTAATAAAATATATGTATGATATCAACTCAGCCTATTCAAATGCCATGTATTTAAAGAGGGTACTTACCTATATTAAGTGTATTTTTGCTTTTTACTACCATTGAGTAGAAATAACAATGTGATAACAAGATAATTTACGATAAATGGCTGTACCTCCTGTACCGTGCGTGTCTCATTTTAACTTTCATGTGATATATTACAATTCAATCAGACCATGTTTCACAATGTCTGAATAGCCACTATATACAGCAATATTTTAATATCTATAGAATGTAATTTGTATGCAATATACGCCATACTGTAGCTACTCTCGCGCGGTTTCACCCGTTGCTCGGTTCGGAACCAGTAGTTTCGGAGATTATCACGTTCAAACAAATAGTGCAGCTTCATAAATAATATTAGTATTGATAATGATTTTTTTAATGATTTAATGATTAAGAAAACTTACATGAAGTATAGTGAAAAAGGCCCTTAATATAAATCAAACTAATCGCCACTCATGTTGTAATATTCATATACCCGAAAAAAAATAGATTCTGAACTATTTAAAAAACCTTTTTAAGACATTTTATGTGTTCTTGTATCATTCAAACAATTTGTTTGTATCTTATTATTATATTTCCTTCCCACAGGACGAGTTTACATGCAAGAATGGGAAGTGTATATCGTCTTTCTCCCGTTGCGACGGTAACAACGATTGTGGAGACCTTTCAGATGAGATCGGTTGTCTCTGTGTACCGCCGATGATCATGTGTGATAATACTAGGTGCTACCTGCCCCATTGGAAATGCGACGACGATATCGATTGCGCAGATATGAGCGATGAAAAAGGTATTGTTGATTGTGTTTTTCTTTATTTCGTATTGCAAGTGCTCTTATGTGTGCCTATACATATCTTTCATTGTTTGTATGGATATTTAACAAAAAATCTATGAATTATTTTGGTCATCATCATACAAATATTAGGTTAAAGGTTATTCGGTTTTTTGCTATGACTAATTGATACTATGACACAACTTGATAAGTCTTTGACTAATTTATTGGTAGTGTTGTCAAAAACAACTGTTTATTATTACAACAATGAGGATTTTTCACTGACGCATGATTTTGTATTTACAACCACTTTAAGAAATAATACCGCATCTAAAGAAACAAATCTTAAAACGGCTTATCGGGTATTTCCTTATGACCGAATTGACTTTTTCGATCTCAGTTATTGAAAGAAACTTTACACAGCTAATGTAAAATATTTCGATTTCAATAAACCTAAATAAAAATATTTTCGTACGAAATCTAACAATGATATTAATTAGCAATGAGATAACAAGATAATTAAGGAAAAATCGGAAAATAACCTTTTTTGCAATGCCCTTTTTTATCTATAGGTATTTAATGAGATTAACATATTGTTTTGTATGTCTTTTAGACTGTGGACACCGAAATTGCTCAGAGAATAAATTCCAATGTGACAACGGCCACTGTATAGAGAAGCGTTGGTTGTGTGATGGAGACAACGACTGTAAGGATGGATCTGATGAACGGAACTGCACGGTAAGTCAACTTATTTTATTTAAAAGGCCCCAAAACCAATCTCCAGTCTGTTAAAGGTCGGAAAATCGCCCTAAGAGTAAAGTTACTGAAGGCCCAATCAGAGACGAACCCCTCCATCCCCATCTCAATCCTCAAATTCCTAACTCGAAACTTCTAAATTCGAATAAATCAATCGATATCGATATTCGTAAGTACAAAAACATGATTTGTTGATTTTCAATTAAAAAGTTTTCTTTAATTTTCCGTAATTATTACAATATAAGGTATGTTTTAAGAATTATATAAAATAATTATTTAAAATTTAATTTTTATTTAAATTATTTTGACATTATAACAAATACCATTCACAGAGAATTTTCTGTTGACGAAACTACTATCAATCTTGATAGTCTCAATTTAAAAGTGTGATAGCGTGCGCTCGGATGCTAGCCGCTAATTTCGACATGTCGTGTATATGTCAGGATGGCCGAGCGGTCTAAGGCGCCAGACTCAAGGTTCCCTTGCTTACTAAACGTGAGTTCGAGTTGTTCTGGTCCTCTCTGAGGGCGTGGGTTCGAATCCCACTTCTGACAAACTTTTTGTTAATGTATTAAGTATTTTTTGTGCATTTATTTTCACAAAAAGTCAATATTATATTATTTTGTGTAAAATGTATGTAAAATTATTTGATAAATATTTTTTTTTGTTGGAAATCACATGTTAGTTCCAGTAATTAGTGAGATAATTTTACATGATTCACAGTTGATTGTAATTACAATGTAATTTATCAACTTTCGACACTGTTATGTTTAGTTTTTATTGTGATACTGATACTGTGTTGTTAGTATCCAATAATGATTGTATTTATGTCATTAAAGTATAATGTTACTAAGTCGCGTGTGAACTGTTGTCCTACATTTTAAATTTTAATAGGTCACAAAATTACATCGATAAATCTTTATAAACGTACTTAGGGCTGATCTTTCAATGATGAGAGAAAAGTTGCCTGGGGAATAATTATGATGCTGTCGCGTCAGAATGTTTGTATAAGACAGTGACAGCAACAATTTTATTCCTCAGATAATAGTTATCTGACTATTGAAAATCTGCCTTTAGAGATATGTAGCCCTCCGTACGTGTAACTTTTTTGGTCACAGCATTTTTGTCGGTAGGGAAAAGTATTAAGATTCGTTTTGTCCCATTTTGTTCTAAGAAATGAGGACAGTTTTATTGACCTGAAATGTTTATTTTAATTTTTTTTTAGTTTAACTTTTTATATCAGACTACTAAGGCCTATAAACACTGTACATAAATAACAATCTAAAAAAAAAACAATAAACTAGTACATAATAAACATTATTATTATTCTTCAACAGATTCCAAGGAAACGTCCGGATATAGTGGAAAGTTGTTCCGGTAACGGTTTCGCGTGTAGCAATGACAGCAGTATGTGTATCCCCAACTCGTGGGTATGTGACGGCGAGAAGGACTGTGATAACGGAGAGGATGAAAGTGAACAGCGATGCAAGGACTCCACTTGTGCTCCTTACATGTTCAGGTGTCCCAGCGGGAAATGTATATTCAAATCTTGGGTGAGTTACCTTGTTAAAACACGTGAAAATTCTAGTTTCTTTTTTTGGAACGGGGGTTGGGAATCACCATTTTTCTTTTCTCGCCCTGAGTGGGGTCAGTGTGGAGGCAACGACGTATCAAACAATATTTAAATACAATATCTTATCTAATTGTTTACCACAATTATAAATAAAACCTTTTGAATTTTCGATGACTCATTAAAAACTAGCTTCTTAGTAAACTGTTAGGATAGTAAATATCGGTGATTGTAATATTATTATATTTTTACCTAGGTCTGCGACGGTGAAAACGATTGCGGTGACGAGCACTCCTCGGATGAAAAGAACTGTTCCAATTCCCAGCATTCCAAATTGCTCCCTATTCCTGGCACAGAGAAGCCCAATTTCTCTAGCAACGAGACATGTTTGCAGTGGATGTTTAAATGTGACAATGGAAACTGTATGCCCGACTGGTGGAGGTGTGATGGTATTGACGATTGTGGGGACAAATCTGACGAGATCGGTTGTAGTCTCGACCTGCCACCAGAGTTGATGCCAGTTACCCCTGAACACCACACACCGTACACTAAGAAGTGTGGCAAGAACGATTTTACTTGTGCACCTGGTATGTTGCTAAACTTATTTCTTTTTAATCGTGACGTAATAAGAAATTAGCTTTCTAATCATAGTACTATATCATGACTACGTTACAGACACGTTTAATCTTATAATGGCGGCCTGTCGCAATAAATGTGTCCGTTACCCAGGCCAGATGTTGTCGACAATGGTCATTTGAATCTTATAGATAATTAGTTGTGCGGCTTCTGTAATTGTTGCGCACATTTTTAAATTTGTTGCGCTTATAGTTTTTTTACTATTTTACAAAAACATTTCCTGCTGGCGTAACGTTACCACAGCCAGACCTTTTTCTTTCTAATGGGAATATTTAAATAAGTATTAGCTATAAAATTAGTTGTCTAGATAAAGTAAATGTTGTGCCTTATTTTGTATTTGTTCTTTCTTCGGTTGCGAAGTTATTCGAGATTTTGCTGCGGTAACGTTTTTGGTTTTGCTAGATCTTTGAAATGGTTAAGCGGATTCTTATCATATTTTGTACACGACTTCCGAGGACTTAGTTTAAATTTGTTGTGCAATAATAAAACTAAAATAATGCATATTTTAAAGGTTATTTCATTAAATAGAAAAACACTTCAATTGGCCCCAGCACTCTCAATAAGAAGTCTAAAGACTTACTTTAAACGTAATTTTAAAGCTTGTAACTGCCTTCAAATGTATGTGAAGTTTCATTAGTATCCCGTAGGTATTTAACAAGTTATGATGATATTCAGTTCTTCACGAGCACGGTCTTAATGCACGCGGTGTTATTTGGCCACTGGATTGGATATATGAACTGAATGTTATGTCAATAATTAGTTGTTTAGATCAGTTGTATATCAGTAAAATTTCAGCTCAATACATTGGATAATCAATGAGATAATACTATTAAAGTCATTAGGAAGCGAATGACCGTGGTAAGCCGACCAAGTTAAGGTGGTTACAAAAAAGCGAAAACGCAGAACATTATGGTACCTTCTAAAATATGTAGGATATTGTTATAAATTTAGTACAGACATGTACAAAACTTTACGTTTTTAGTTTTAAGTAGAAGACGTACTAGGTTCTACTTTAAGACTACCGTAAAAACAGACACAATTAAGTCAATAGATGTTTGAACGCCTGTGTTCGCTTGGGGGGGGGGGGGATAGAATAGAATATTAGTTTGTATTGAATTCAAAAATCATCTAAAACATTACAAAAGTAACCTTCTGGAAAGACTGAGTGCGTTATGCAAACAATATAGGTACCTATTACCCCTTCACCCCACTCCTCCCGCGCCCTACCGAACGGCATGCTCTAGCAGTGATTTTTGATAATTTTGTGGAACTGGAAGATAATGTTTTCTTTTATATTATTATTATATAGGTATTTAACAGTGTACGCGTCTGTACCAAAATTGTAAGGTGTATTATACTAAACATTTCAAAAGATAGTACAATGTTCTGCGTTTTCGCTTTTTCGTAACCACCTTAACTTGGTCGGCTTACCACAGTCATTCGCTTCCTAATGACTTTAATAGTATTATCTCATTGATTATCCAATGTATTGAGCTGAAATTTTACTGATATACAACTGATCTAAACAACTAATTATTGACATAACATTCAGTTCATATATCCAATCCAGTGGCCAAATAACACCGCGTGCATTAAGACCGTGCTCGTGAAGAACTGAATATCATCATAACTTGTTAAATACCTACGGGATACTAATGAAACTTCACATACATTTGAAGGCAGTTACAAGCTTTAAAATTACGTTTAAAGTAAGTCTTTAGACTTCTTATTGAGAGTGCTGGAGCCAATTGAAGTGTTTTTCTATTTAATGAAATAACCTTTAAAATATGCATTATTTTAGTTTTATTATTGCACAACAAATTTAAACTAAGTCCTCGGAAGTCGTGTACAAAATATGATAAGAATCCGCTTAACCATTTCAAAGATCTAGCAAAACCAAAAACGTTACCGCAGCAAAATCTCGAATAACTTCGCAACCGAAGAAAGAACAAATACAAAATAAGGCACAACATTTACTTTATCTAGACAACTAATTTTATAGCTAATACTTATTTAAATATTCCCATTAGAAAGAAAAAGGTCTGGCTGTGGTAACGTTACGCCAGCAGGAAATGTTTTTGTAAAATAGTAAAAAAACTATAAGCGCAACAAATTTAAAAATGTGCGCAACAATTACAGAAGCCGCACAACTAATTATCTATAAGATTCAAATGACCATTGTCGACAACATCTGGCCTGGGTAACGGACACGCAATAAATCTAAAATCTTCGGGTTCTCACAGTACCTCTTAGAATTTCCTTCAAATGGTTTCTTAAAAGTAAAGTTTCCACTTTAAGGAGATGATTTCGAATATATATTTGAAAATTTTTGTCATAAACCGCGAAGGAGTATCTTGTAAGGCGTGTAATCGATTGTCAGGTCGTTGTATCCCGCTGGGCTGGGTGTGCGACGGGGCGGTGGACTGCGAGGACGGGTCGGACGAGCAGTCGTGCCGCGGCCACAGCAGCGTGACGCCGCGCTGCGGGCTCCTGCAGACTCCCTGCAGGGACGGCGCCGCCTGCATCCGCACCGACCAGCTCTGCGACGGAGTCTTCGACTGCGAGGACAAGAGCGACGAGATCAACTGTCCCGGCACTTCTGTAAGTTACTTCCAACATTTGTCACGTGGTAGTCATTATTCGCCACAGTTGGTCCTCCTGCCTTTGTCATGTAAAAGCAAGCATATTTCGCCACAAAAGATCCGGTTCGACCGGATCGATACCATAAAGTAAAGATTGCTTTTTATAGCTAAACGGGCAATGAAATGGATACAATATATTTTTGGATCTATTTTGGGTGGAACATCGGCAAAAGAGTTGACGGATTACCTGATAGTAAACAATCGGCGCCGCCCATGGTTACGAGTGAGTTGCCGGCCTTTGGGGGATTAGGGATTCGGAGATTTTGGGATTTCGGGAAAGGATTGGGCCTCCGGTAACCTCACTCACGCGGCGAAACACTTCACTGTGGTTGTTTCACGCTGATTTCAGTGAGACCTTAATATCACTAAGATCGACCCATTAGTGCCGAAGTATGGCTTTCACAATATTTATTTATAACGATTTCTTTCAAAAACAAAAACAGATTATTCCTTGACATGTAACTTAGGTATAAGAGCATTGTGATATTTAATTATATAAGCAATGTATTTTTTAAAATTATTATCCTGTTATTTTGCATGCAGACCCGCAAGCCAACGGTAGAATGTCAGCACGGCTACTTGATGTGTGACGACGGAACTAACTGCGTGCCCCAGGTGAGCGTGTGTAACGGCCGACAGGACTGTTACGACGGCAGCGACGAGCTCAACTGTACCAGCGACCCTAGCGATAACACTCATGTCTACCAGGTTAGTACCTAGCGCCCACGGAATAGAAAATACAGTGGAAGTGCCGCTCAGACTTCGCGCGCTAACCAACATGATGACTAGATATACAACATTTTGGCACATTTGTTGTCAGAATCGTTCGATCCGTTGTCATGATTGGTTGTCATGGTTGTCTCTAAGAAACACGAAATATATTATAAATTATGCCTTGTTGTGCGGTTTTCAACTGCAAAAAAGTAAGCAGAAAAAAAGATGAGTCTTGTGGTGGTGTATCGTATCATCTTTGAGTATTAACCTTTGTTAATTTTAAATATATTTGATTTTAATGTAAATATCACATTTCATTACTTCAATGCAAACTATAAAGGGCCTTATTTTCATTATAATTAAGTTTAAATCTACTTGTTCGTTATGTGACGTTATATACAATACATTCCAGTAGTTTCGACGCTACTCATTTAGGGATGCGACATATTCGTAAAATAGGTTCATATCGATAATTTTTCATCATCATCGTTCAGAAAATTGATTTTTGACAATTTTTGTGTATAATTCATAAATGTTTAACTAAGATTGCATAGACACATCAACGTTTTAACCACACACAGCGTGCATCCGTCTGTGATAGGTGCGGGTGGTTAATCACCATTTTTATTTTATAATGTTGTACATGATTTTTATCAGAGTTCCAAAAAGGAGAGTGACTCTCAATTCGACCGTACATGTTTTTTTTGTTCGTTCGTCTCCGTTATTTATGAACCGATTTTAATAATTCTATTTTTGTTGGAAAGGAGATAAACTTGTAGGAGCGCGTAGTGCTTTTATATGTTAAAATCGAAATCTTTAAATAATAACTTTACCATCTCCAAAAAACACAAAATCTTCAAAAAATGTTAATATTTTTCTTTTTTTCTATTAGAACCTTTTTCATTACTGATCATTTGTAGGTATATCGTGTCGATAAATTATATTGCTCACACGAATACAATAACATCGATATATTAGGATACCCTGCCCTATCTGAGTAGCAAAATAGTAATGTCTATTGGTACAAGTGCATACAAATATGACATCTATTTCAAAGAAGTTAGCGTTTTGAATAGAATGAATTTGTTTCAGCGCCATCTAGCATTGAGTGGCTGAACCCGTTTGTAAATTGTTTTATTTAAGTTTTTTACACGATAGTCGCCTTTATTGATTGTGACATGTGAAATGATAACAACTTTCGGTCATTGTAATAAGACTCAATTTTTAACAACATTTAGAACATGATTTGCTAAAGTTGCGTTTCAACTTTGTACCCAATTATATAGCTGTTTTTTATGTGTGTAATGGACAATTTGATTTGCGAATGTGTGATTTTGGCGACACTGGTTTTCCTTTTGAAAGAGTGTAGGGGCACTTCTGCTTAATTTTCTGTTCTGTGCAAGCGCCCTTTTCACCTCCTTCATGTATTATAAGTTCCCGATAAACTTTTGTTTCATATAGTTGTAATGAATCACGTTCTATATTCAAATCTATATGGTATATTGTGGCTATTTAGACATTCAGAAATAAGTCCTGAATGAATCTTAGTACTACATATTACATACTAGAATATGATAGATTTTTTTATGTATTTATGACAAAATTACTTATATCTAATTATATCCTAAATTGATTCCTGTGCTCAGAAATGAATATGCGGAATATCTGTAAAATTGTAAAAATGATTGTATTGTAACTTATGTTTTACGGCTTACTATCTATATATGTATATCTGTTGTCGAGTTAACTCGACTAGTTTCGAGTTAGGCTTAGGGCTCATTGTAATGAGTAGTATAACGCGACACGACTCAAAAAACGTTGCGTCGTAGTAATTGCCACACTTTGTAACTAGAACTATAATACACAATAAAATTTATTGTTTCATCCAGTTCCTAAGCATTGGCGTGGACCAGTCTTCGATAAACTCGACGAGCTTCTTGATTTCGTGCTGGATGGCTCAGCAGAAGATGGTGATGTACAGCTTCCTACCTTCCATCTCTAAAGTCAGTGATGGTGTGTGGCACAACAAGACTTGGACCAACGACAGTATTTACAGGTATTTTGATGAACCTTCCATCCCCTTATCCCCAAACACCTAATCCACAAACCCCTTAACCCCAAAACACATGTAAGTCTGCTTTCGTGAATGTTCATAGGTGGCTCCGAATGCTAACTATCAGTCGTTCTGATTTAGCATAGTAAATGTAATCTCCTATTTAGTAAACTTCCGAACGGTTCGCGGCTAGATTCGACTTTGCCATTGACCTTCACACTACATCTACTGAGTTGCGATAAGAACAGAGTTCAATTCAGTTCATATAGTAGATTTTATCTAGTTGCAATTTAATTATTTCAAAGACAAATTAAAATTAAAGTTTACCATGATAGAGTTGTTATTCATAAGACACGACTTGGGGACTGAAATTCGAGTGTGTTTTTTTTATAAATTTAAATATTATACGGTATATAAGGTTTAACAATGTTTTGTAGGTATTTATTAATATTTTTATTTCTGTTTAGGTTTACAGATCTGGAGCCTTATACCAACTACAATGTGACTTTCTACATCAGAGACAGCAAATCAAACAAAACTTATGCATCCATGAAGTATGTGAACACTACCACTGGAGAAGGAAGTAAGTCAATAAATAACATTTCTTAAATTATAAGTCAAAGTCAAAATCATTTATTCTAACTCAACCATTAATATGTAGGTAGGTTACTTTATACACATCAAAATAGAAGAATAGTCTGTCAGTCTACTCCTCAGTGAAGCTAGGTGCTCGTTTCAAATTGTAGATTCAAATGGTAAAGAACGAGCAAGAAACTCCCAATTATAATTATTTTGTGCTAAATTGTTTTCTTTTCCTTTAAAAAAGGGGTATTTTATGAGTAGCTATGGAAGACTATAGATTGAAATTGAGATTTAAGACTAGGGTTAAGATTCCACTGATGTTTTTTTCCAAAAAAGCCTTATATAACTATCGTAACTTATGAACGAATGTCATTACGCCTATGACAAAGATTGGTCGGAGAAAGCTTTGCGCAACGTTGAGTGCAAAAAGTGTAGGAAAGCCTTTGCATGCAGAAGGGAAATTACAGCTAAAACAATATCATAATAAAACAAAACAAGAAACCTAAAAAGTTATTAAAAATATCATTTTCTGTCTCCAGTGCCGTCACCACCAATCCGCCTAAGCGTCCGTCAGCTGATCGGCCGCCGTATCAACGTAGTATGGGACCGGCCGGAGTTTCCACGCGGTGATATTAAATTCTACACTCTGTACTACGCGCCGCCATTACCGCCTGTCGCCAAGGTCATCCCGGCCACTAGCTCCAAGTCCATGTCTGTAGATGTTACCGGGTTCTTCAAGCCTTTCAACAACTATTCCTTCTGGGTAAGTTTTATTAGGGTGCAAATCCTAGGGACTTAATTTCTAAATCTTTTGATTTAATAGACCAGACTTTGATGGCGGAATAAAAAAAAACAAATATAAATATAGATTTCTAAGCAAAGTAATGCTTGCTTAGTGTTATTTTTATAGTAACAAATATTACAGCATTGTCGTTATAACTCATAAATCCTATATTGTAAAGTATTCCTTATTTCTGTAGGTGACAGCAACAAACAACGCTCTCACATCAACATCCTCCCAAGTAATGAACATAACGTTTGACCCGGCGAATGATGTAGATGACCTAGTCAACGCTAGTCTGACGCGACTCAATGCCAGCTCCGTAAGACTGGACTGGCATCTCATCAGGAACGTGGACGGATATGTTGTGAGGGTACGACTGCCTCCAGAATATGCGATGCGAGACCCAATAGTTACGAAGGCAACTAACATTACATGTAAGTTGTATTTTAACTCATTGATGTATGAACTATTGACCTCGTCTAAATGTCTGATATAGTCTCTATACTTGTAAGCTGCTTGCAGATGATAGTTTAAAATTATTAGATTGTATTTTTGCACATGAGGTGTAAGTAACAACACTGTGTGTTTTTTTTATGTACTAGGTCGGCAAACGAGCAGACAGATTACCTGATGGTAAGCAATCAGCGCCGCTAATGGACACTCGCAACGGAGGAGTTACGAGTGCGTTGCCGACCTTTTAGGGATTAGGGATTTGGAGATTTAGGGATTGGGGGAGGGGAAGGATTGGGCCTCCGGTAACCTCATTCACACGGCGAAACACAACTGTGGTTATTTCACGCCGGTTTTCTGTGAGGCCGTGGTATCACTCCGGTCGGGCCGACTAATTCGTGCCGAAGCATGGCTCTCCCACACTTAACGAAATGTTTGTGTTTTAATGCATGTATATATTGTTTTGTGTATGTTAGTGTAAACAATTGTTCGTAGACATAAAATCTGACTTATGACACTAACGGAAACAGTACAAGTGGTGGAATATCCACCACTTGTACTCTACTCTGAATAATCTGATTATCCCACACAGATATTGTCATTTATATGTAATGTAGTTTAGGTACGTATTTAGTCTAAATTCTAAGTTCGATTACGTTAGGACAATGCCAAGTAGTGTATAATGTACTTGTTAGATAGATAGATAATGTGTACAATAGTTGGTTTAGTTATGTTAATCAGTATAACAAGCTTGTGATATAGCCATAAGTAATATATTCTTGTTTTATTTACAGTGACAAACCTACCACCGGGAGTTCTAATATACATTGACATAAAGGCCTACAAGAACGACGTATATGGCGATCCGTTTACGATTCCTCTCCGTACCGAGGGCACGCAGGACGAGACCCTGAACTTCACAGCTATATTGTCCAAGGAAAGGAAGACTTCAGTCTATGTGTCTTGGAGTCCGCCTACTGGTGACCGGTATAAGAACAAAGAGCTGGAGTATGAAGTACATTATACCAATATGATTCATAGGACTACCAGCCCCGGAGAGATGTCCAATGGTAATAAGTGTGTCAATTATAAATAAATCTACTTCTTTATCAACTTTATCCATTTCAGGATTATTCTAACTTTATAAAAATGTGTGCTTTTAGCGCATATTGAGATTACCCCAAAATTGTACAATAGCGCTTGATTGCCTAACATCTTAGGTAAAGATTGTTCGAAAATCGCATTGGCGACTACATCATCGATAATATAATGAGTTTTTATTAATTGTATTTTCTTTTTAGGTAATAAGATATTATAAAGACTGTTTTTTTACAGATACTCGTATCGTAACAAAGAACACAAGTGTGCTTATAGAAGGTTTACACGCGTGCGAGACGTACATATTCACTGTGGGAATTCTCGGCGGTCCACTCAGCTTGTTCAAGGGAATCATTACACGTGAGAACGACAAGTAAGTTTATTTCTTGGTTCGATGTAAATAGAGTTGAAATTTGGTAAATAGCATTTTTTATATTTGATTTAATGACTTACATTTGGGTGCATTGTTCGAAGGGCTCCTGTAAAGAACTTGCACGTTGAATACGATGAGGATAAAGGCGAAATGAAGATCTTGTGGGACGCCAACTGTAACGCTCTGAAGACACCGACAACTTACTCGGTGAGGCAAAAATAATTATTTTAACTTATGTCAAACTAGCAACTTTCGTGCCGCTTTCGCTGCTCGACTCAATTTAATCGTAGCGTTATTTTTTATAGCTTATGTAGCTCAGGCAAATTGTAGCTACATATCAGTATAATAATTTTGTTAATCGGACCAGCGGATCCATAGATTACCCCCTTACACAGAAACTTACAAATTTTACCTCTAAAATATTATTATTTATTAATGTCCAATATATTTTTTGTAATTTACTTACAAGTATACATGTAACAGACTTTTTTCTGTATTATGGGTTGAGTAATATCTGTCAATTTGCTACCGTTAACCAAACCATAAACCGGTGTTGCCTAGAGTGAAAAAAGAACCGGTAAGTTTAAGTTAGTAACTTTCTAACAATCCGCCTAGTCCCACCCTAGCCAGAAGAAAATATTTAATAAACCTTACAATTAAGCAGCTTTATAGTGTAAATACTATATTAATTAATTCCTTTATATTCTTTGTTTCAGCTGGATATAACGGAGCTGACGTATAACAAAGAGAGTCACTACGAGCTGTCTCCGTCGGGACACCCCAGTTATTCGCACACGATCCTCAATGTACCGATCGGTGGAAGATACAACATCTGCGTGCATGTAAGTTTTTCGTTACCATTTAATTCGTCTATGGGCTTTTCATCAATATAGGTTGAATAACCATAGTCTACATATTATTATGTAAGGAATGATCACTGAATGTTATTTTAATGTTTACCTTATTCAAAACAAACATTAGACACGTATTTTATAAAAGCATCGGTTAACACATTCAGTGCCCCCGACGCGTATGTGCGTGCGAGGAAACGCACATACGCGTCGGGGGCACTGAATGTGTTAATCAGTGACAACTAATAATAATAGTGCAAGACTCTTTCTGAACCCGTAAGAAAACAAAACAAGCTGTTGTCAAATGTATGTACTTACTAGCTTTTGCCCAGTGTGGAATAATGACTTCCTGCAGATTTTTGGTTATAAAACTATCCTATGTACTTTCTAGAGTTCCAAACTATGTCTGTACTCAATTTCACACAAATAGGTTCAGTAGTTTAGGCGTGAAGAAAAGACAGACAGAAAGACAAACGGACAGAGTTACTTTCGCATCTATAACATTAGTATGGAAGTATGGATAGCCTTCCTCGATAAATGCACTAAACACAAAAATAATTGTTCAATTCGAAACAGTAGTTTTGGAGATTAGCGCGTTCAATCAAACAAACTCTACAGGCTTATAATATTAGTATAGATTAAAAATGTCGTGTGTTTCGTAGGTGTCGGTAGAGGGCGCGAGCGTGCAGTGCCGGCGCGTGCGAGGCCAGCGCCTGCAGCCGCCCAGCGAGGTGCTGGCCTGGCTGTCGCCCAACGGGCACATCATGGTCAGCTGGGCCGCCGCGCGCGTACACGACGGGTATGTACTCTCATTGCTTTACATCTTCTTTTCTTTTATAGCATACGACGGCAAACGGTACCTGATGGTAAGCAGTCAGTGTCGCTCATGGACATGACTGGTCGCTTGGCGCAGTGTCTGGGCAACTGGCTGCTGTGCAACGTGTCGCGGGTTCGATTCCCGCACGGAACAGCAAATTGTTGGTTTCATGTCTGGGTGGTTTGTGTATGTGAATTTGTATGTTTGTAAATGCTACCACGCACGACACAGGAGAAAATCCTTATGTGGGGCAACGTCTTATGTAAAAAAAGTTTAGAGATTGAGTAAGTATTGGTCTTCCTGTAACTTAAGTTACACAATACAAACGTTGTTTCACGCCAATTTCATGTAGCGCCGTGGTATCAGTCCGCCCGAGTTGGCTCATTAATGCTTGTTTCACAACCTTCACATAATTACCTGGTAAAGTTAAGTAGTTCATACAAGTCATGTTCTATATCTAAATTAACTGATACATAGTGACTATCCATACTTAGTGAAACAGCCATTATCTTTTTTTTTGTCAGGGGAAAATCATCCAATGACTTCTCCCGCCCAAGGCCGGGCGGGAGGGAGTATCAGACTCTTACTGACTAAAAACCCCCCTGTTCCTTCTCCTGCTCTGGCCCGAGATCGCGGCGCCTCATTGCGCTTAGCCCGCAACCCCGAAACAGCCATTATCTTGCCACCTCTTGCAAGGGAATGTTAACATAACTATGTTTTTTTTAAATATTGTAACGCACGTTTAAATGGAATCTTTACATAATAAATTAATACATAATTTCTTCAACAGGCATGAGTACGAAGTGATAGTATCTGAGAAGGAGATACCAGAAGACTTGCTCCAGCCTACAGAAGATATGAAGACTATGAAGGCGGAGATGTCGCCGTGCTTGATGACGGCGCCTGATGACGTCACGGGCCCGCTGTACGTGGGAGTGAGGGTCGTCACTCCCGACGGGTACTACAGCGACCTCAGCGAGGTGCACACCTTGACTATGGAGGGTAAGTCGATCATATTTAATATATGTACATTTTATTTTAGTAGTGATTGGTTAGTTGCTGCATGAAGATATTGGGGCCCTTCAAAACGATTCGGGGAGTGTTGTAATGGAGTCTGTATTTATATAGGTTTACAAATGTTGAACCGAGTTTGAATTTGGACCACTAGGTTCGTAAGTTAAGTTCCACTAGGATTGGGACTGGACTAAATGAATTTGGTTGGAATGGGCATAGCATAGGATGGAATGGGATGGTTTGAAAAGATGGGGTTCACTGTGTTTTGGATTGGAATTTATGAATGGATGTGAATGTGGTTGAGAGTCTTTGGAATTGGGTGTGAATAGTATTGGGAGCGGATTGAATACCATTGGGTGGAATTGGGATATGCCTGGATGAAATTGGATGGGTTTGGCCACTTGGAATCTGGATATGATAATATTAAGCAGAGATTTTGATTTAAAATCTGATTTTGAATAGGATGAGGATTAGTATAAGAATGATACCTATAACAACAAAATTTTTCACTGGACTAAAACAAGTTTTCATTATATTCTTCTTTATGTTGAATACCTAGTGACTATGCTCATATGTTACGCAGGATCAGAAATTGATGAGCCATCAGCTCTTCGCGCAATGTGGTGGGGCTGGGGCGGAGCCCTGCTGGTGTGCATCGTGCTGGGCGGAGCCCTACTGCACGTGGCGCTCAGGCACCGCCGCCTCGCGCGGTCCTTCCTCAGGTTCACTGCGCACACGCCGCGGTATGATAGCAGGCGGGGACAGGCCATCATTGGCGAAAATGGTACGTACATTCAAACAATACATTTCTATTTTTGGCTGCACGTTTGGTGCCGTGGCTTGGCAACTGGCTGCCGTGCGGCGTGTCGTCACATGACACGCATGACACGCCCCCACACTAGAATTTTCACGGGAGAAAATTTTAGTGTGGGGCAAAATTTAAAAAAAATGTAAAGGAAGGTCGTCAAAATGACACAAATGCTTTGGTGATTGGAAAACTTTATTTAAAAAAAAAAATACTTGTGTTTTGCTTACAAATGTAATGTTGTTGCAGACGACGATGACGTGCCTCCTATCCACGGGTTCTCGGACGACGAGCCGCTCGTGATCGCGTGAGCTGTCCGCCCGCGCCCACTAATGTGATGTAACCGTGATCTTGTCAAAAAAATAGTATTTATTTTTTCATAAAAAGAAAACTTGCACGTTTTAAAGCAAATCTTTAATCTGCTTGTGGTTGTAAAATTATGTTAGTTACAATAGTCGAATTCAATTGCTTCGCCACGATTGAAACATCGATAGAGCGCATCGACAGAATTATAATGATGATTATTATTATTATTTTCTATTTGAAATGCCCCGAGTATTATTATTTTATTCTGAATCAAATTATAATTATTTTAGTTTTATAATCGCTGCGTACGTTTCTCTGGCACTGTATGAACTTTAGCCGAATTAGTGACAATGGTAGAGTGGCAGGGGAACGTACGCAACGCGACCGACGGGCTGTAAATGGTAAGACTTGTTAAATTATGTTAATGATACGTAAAGACATAAGATTTAAGTTTCCGGGCATATCGGAATCGTTGTAGGTAACATGAACAATTCTCATTTCATTATAATAATTCGGCACCAAAGAATAGAAGTACAATGTAAAGAGATATTAACATCTACGCTGTTGTTACATTATAATGGATCTCGACATTCCCAATATGTGTAGTGTTTTTTTTACTTTAGTTCCTATAGAACGTTTTAGTGCCGCGTCATCTTATTTGACCAGTCTCGTGAAATTGTTAAGTTATCGTTATATGGCTGGGCTCATATATTGTGTAAACTAATAACATAATTAAATAAATGTTTAAAAGGCCAGTACTGTGGTTTTATTTCACCTTTCCAGAGAGAAAAAAGTGCTATGCAGTTTGACTATCTGTAGTTGGGGACAATTTGTAATATCTGTAGGCCTACCATGACGTGTTAAAACGTGAATCTTCGGGGCGGGAAAGAGTGATGGAGCTATACACCTCTTATAGCTCCATCCCTCTTTCTCGCCCTGAAGGTTGACGCTTTAAACGTCATGGTAAGCCCTCAGAACTTGAGTCAGTGCATCAGTACATATAGATTTTCATACAAATAATATTGTATTAATGTTTGAATGGTACTAACCTATATCTAGTCGTCTAGTACAGCAATGGCTCGCTGCAGCCAGTCCTTTATAGGCAGCAGTACCAGAGTACTGTCGCGGGACACTGCCACTGCCACCGCCGCCTGTCGCCCGTGCTTGTTGCATATCAGGGAACCACCAACTCCTGTCTATAATATATTTAAATGATACACTATGGTCTGCTGAAATAACATGTAGGTTTCTTTTTTCCCTGGTATTACGACCGAAACAGCTGGTTGAAGGTTTTGTTTTATCCATCCACAACTCGTTTGGGAAGTCGGGTTTATCTCAGTAATCCCTTCTCGACCATTAATTGGAAAGCAAAAAATTATTGAACTAGGAACTAATCGTGTGTGTTAGTTACAATAGGGATACAACATGCTATAAAAACGACACAGGTTGTTACATAAATATGAAAACTAGCCAAAAGTGGGTAAGGTTAGTTATTTACTGATTTAAATGTGCATACACCATTGCAGATTGAGATTTCATAACTAAACATAATTTCAAAGTACCTATACTAACTGCTACTGGGAAATTTACGAAACCTGACTACATAGAAGATTGACTCTAAAACAAATTCAAGAGACTCTGATTAAAATGATACACTATGGTCTGCTGAAATAACATGTAGGTTTCTTTTTTCCCTGGTATTACGACCGAAACAGCTGGTTGAAGGTTTTGTTTTATCCATCCACAACTCGTTTGGGAAGTCGGGTTTATCTCAGTAATCCCTTCTCGACCATTAATTGGAAAGCAAAAAATTATTGAACTAGGAACTAATCGTGTGTGTTAGTTACAATAGGGATACAACATGCTATAAAAACGACACAGGTTGTTACATAAATATGAAAACTAGCCAAAAGTGGGTAAGGTTAGTTATTTACTGATTTAAATGTGCATACACCATTGCAGATTGAGATTTCATAACTAAACATAATTTCAAAGTACCTATACTAACTGCTACTGGGAAATTTACGAAACCTGACTACATAGAAGATTGACTCTAAAACAAATTCAAGAGACTCTGATTTCACTAGCCACACTTGATATTATCAAAAAGGCGTAACTTAATAAGTATTTATAGTTAGATATACACAGAAAAATAAAAATCTTCAACATATAATGACTCGGGTATTAACGCGAAAATAATTATTTTAATATCTTGATAGGCTTGATGTTTTGACCTGGTTACACAGGTCGTGGTCGCAAGCAGACCTAGTCGGCTTGTTTATTTTTCACGTTAATACCCGCGAAATTATAGGTATATTGTAAATATGAAAAGCGCAAGTTTAAAAGTCAGTAAAGAAAAATCTTCATCCGTGGTTAAACCTAACCAACAATATTGTGTACTTACCACAGTACCGCGCGCCTGTACGGAAGCACACAAAGCGTTGTTTGGTATGTTGATACCTTTGAGTGACAGCCGTCCGTTGCAAGAGTGCAGCGAGGCGCGCTGCCAACGAGACTTTGGACGCATCGCTGGAATATCAAGTATACAAAGTTTTAGATATAGGGACCTTTTCTTTAATATCTAGTGTTTATGTCTAGGGTCTGTAAATATACACATACTCAACCTGACAAAGCATTAGGTACATTATGTGTAGATAGGTTCCTTACCAACTTCACATCAGGTTTCAATGGAAACAGGAAACTTTTGCTACTAGTGCTTTAAGAATTGACAAACTATTAATCAAACAACATTTTGTGAACTACGTTTTATATTCTTTACCTACTACTAAAATTTGTTATTGGTACGTGCCTAATTGAAACCGTATCTCTTTGTACGGGATCCACACATTTTACTCGGCTAGGTACTGCACTATCCCTACGTATGTACAAGTCACAAATTGCAATGGATTTAAATACTACCAAAAAAATAAAATATTTTTTTCTACTACCATTAAGTATGCGAATAGTAATCAGTAGCAATTTTAGTCATCTTCCAGCGTACCTTGATCGAATCCGCCCCATCCAACGAAAATGCATTCATCACCTAAGCGTGGAGCATCGAGACAAACTGGATGTATGTTTGGACCAAGTTTGAATGATCGCTTCCAATGCTAAAAAAAAATTATAACGCTGTTAACATTATTCAACACAATTTAACACTTTTGACGCCATGGAGGTCATATGTGACTGGATGTGACCGTCGTGCGACGTTAGCTATGTAAAGCAATGATACATCTTCAAAACTGTCTTATTGATAATTTTTTAATCAAATAGTATAAACCACGGTAGCATGTCAAGCTACCCCAAAGAAACAGTCCAGTTGCTTAAATAGATTTTTAACAATATATAAGATTTACTGGTTAAGTCTAAGATTTTTTAAATCATTTTTTCAACTAAAAAGTAGCCCCGCACTACGATTTTCTCCTGTGTCGTGGATGCGTTTACAAACATTTTACATACACACCACACTCAGACCCAGAATAACAATTTGTGGATCACACAAAGAGTTGTTCCGTGTGGGAATTGAAACCGCGACACGTTGCGGGGCAGCCAGTTGCCCAGCCACTGCGCTATCCGTGCAGTCAAATTTTGTGAGTAAGTTGAGTCATTAAGTGCGTGTAGTTAAAAAACATGTTAGGTAGGTACATGGTTTTTTTTTGTGTTTTCGATATGAAGCCGCCTTAACCTAAATCAGACTTATTTCTTAATTTTAGTATTCATTTACATTTTAAAATATCCAGACTAAGAGCCAAAAATCAAGATATTTTGAATAAAAAAAGTACCACACTTTGTTATAAAAGAATTTATTACCTTTTTAGCTTGGCGTTATTTAAAAATTTCGTCACCGAATTCATCGATGTATAATGGCAAATATCAACACCAAAAAGGGTCCACTTAATGGACTTCCCTATACATACACCCAACATTTTAAGACCTACGTAGGTACATAAATTAGTATCTACTAAGAGGTAGCCCTGTCGTTAGGTTTGTAAATAACTTTACTCACCAAAATAGCCAAGTTGTTTTTAATTTCATCGTGTTTGTACTGGGGATGAACGTGGTAGGAAATGATGCGGCTCCTAGACGCAGCCTTTGCGTTGAGGTTCCAGAGTCCTGCGATAAGTAAGAAGTCCCCTGGGGCACTCCTGTCGTGGAGAAGGCAAGGGTTAATGAACTTATGTGGAGACCATATTAGAGGTATCCTGTGTCAATAACTAAAAAAAAAAATATTCTTAATATAAAAAACTAATTTGTAACTTTTTAATTATCATCAAGTGTTAGTATTACAAGTGAGCACTGCTGGCAAAAAGGCTCAAACGGAGAAGGTTTAAGCTTAATTACCACGATTGCTCAAGGCGGATTGGCGACCCCAAATTTAATAGTTAGATATTTTTAAACCAGTTTTTCTCGCCATGTTTTCCTTCACCGTAACTCAGTGGTATTTAAATAATCTAAGACAGTAAGTACCTATGTATAACTCGGAAAAAGTCACATTGCTACTTGCCAGCATTTCGAACCCACACGAACACAACGAACTTACATGAGAAGTAGGCCTTAAGCTCTAGGCCACCACTACGTTATTCTAACTTGCACATAGTATATTGAAATATTGTTTTTTATTCTATTGTAAAGAAATTTATTTAAATTTAAATCATCGATGACTCAGTTTTTGTCACCTCAATAAAATTCTAGTACAATGCCTCTAGACTATAAAATGAACTTTGACTTTGCTGTCTGATTTATTTTTAGTTCAAAATTAGTCAGTTGCATTTGTTTGTTCCAGTTAAAAAATCCATTGATATGAGGTGACGACCATGTTGCCTTAAGTGATCACAAACACGGCTACTGAGCAAGAGATTTTGTGCTCAAGTCCGTAAAGAATTTGTTTTGAGAAAAAACAGTTATCCAGAAGGTTTCTATTTGAAAAAAAAAACAGCAGTTGTCATTGTACTTGGCGTGTGGTGAAATCTACTCCTCTTTATATAGCAAATAAAATTATTTTGGACATATCTACCTACGCCTCTAACTACTCATTCTGTAAAATGTTACTGTGAAAAGACGTGAAATCGTATAACAAACATAGTGTACCTGTAAACGCACTCAGCAGCAGTGATGGCAGCTCGTGGATGTATTAGGGTCGCGTAACACTGCACTACCGTCTGCTTACGAGTGGACACTATCAGCCCTAGCCAAGGATGTGACCCATTTACAGCTTCCCCTATCTGTTTACCTGTTACAAGGAAAATCATTAAAGAAATAATAAATTAATTAACGTTAAGGACATTTCCTCAACCAAAGCACTGGTATCTATTACAATGGTAACTTCTAATTAGTTAAAACCGCTAATGCGAGTCTGATTCGCGCGCGAATTGTTTCGTACGAAAATTTCGTTTGTTTTATAGGACCGTTATTTTCTTGTTTTAGCAATAAATAAATTAAATTTCTGCCCAAATTTTTGCTGTCTAGCTGTCACGATTTATGAAAAGCCTGGTGACTATAAGACAGATTCACGAACAGCGGGGTCAGTATTAGGGTTTCGGTTTTTACCCTTTGGTTACATAACCCTTAAAGGAATATTAGCTTTAAGGGTTATGTAATTTTTTTTTTTTGATTATTTTTTTTTGCATTTTACTTATTATCTGATCTGCATTGTTGAAATAAGTAATCCCATTTAAGAGGATGTTTGACGACCAGTGCCTTCGGCTTGGAAATCACAATTATAAGTTGAGTTACTGGCTATACTTTAGAGGTAGGCCAGAAATTTACGATATGGCCTGGATCAAAAATTATTTACTCACCTTTATTTTTGAAATTAAATGTTTTAGATATTTTCCCACAATCAGGAAATATTTGGTCATCAGAGTCATCATTTGCTTCAGGGCTCGCCGAAAAAGACCCGTCAAGTGTTGTTTCACTACTTTCATCTGTGAAACTTTCTGTAGTAGTTGTTCTTGCTATGGAAGACGGCTTATGACTTTTATTCCTCATTAAATTGAGCAGTTTGAAGTCTTGTAACACATTGAAGTTTGGGTTAGACTGATAGCTGATGGTTTGGCTCTCTACATTGTAATTGGACTCTTCCGACGCTGTCGTAAGTTTGATAGGCTTCACTCGTGGTTTCGATTTTTTGTTCGTGTTACCTTAAAAACATAAAATAATTAAAATATGATCAAAGAAGATATATCTACATCAGTAAAAAGTTTTTTGAGTATACCAAGTCTCGGATCGATTGTAGAGTATCCGAAGGAACCTCCATCATCATTTTCATAGTCATCACCAGCACCATAGCCAGTGGCTTTATGTTTGTTGACAAACGCCCACTCTGGAGGAGGTTGTCCATGATCAGAATATAGCCCTGTAAGGCCGGGTTTCGGCAATTCCGCTGCGTAATCCTCAATGTAATCATCCGTAATGTAATCGTATCTTGTGTCCGGTATTTGTTTCTGTTTATTCGGTGGTTTAACATTTTTAACGTTCCAATAGGGATCGTCATAATCCAAGTCTGGTGAAGCGACCTTGGTCTGTGTAGCTGGCTTTGGTTTGCGGCTTTGTTGACTTTGTGATGTATATTTACGCTGTAATAGAATCTGTCTTTGCTTTAGACCAAAATTCTCCTTGTTAGATCTTCTGGGACGTTTAAGTTTCTTTATAGCATCAGGGAAAATTATCTTTGAATTCGTTTCGTCTACGTCACGTAAGGGTAGAACGCAGCATATTTTATGAAGATCAGTAGTTAGTTTGTCAGTTGCCCTGCAAAAAGAATCTTGTTTATTTAACGTGTTATAATAAAAATAATTTATTATGAAAATATATTAACTTACTTGATATCCAACACGACTCCATTGCTCCGATTGCATTCAGTTTTTTTCATAAAAGTACAAATATGTTCCGACTGCTTTTCTTTATATTTAGTATTGAACGATAGTCTATCGTTGTATGGAATAGTATTATTGTTGGTAATAGGACTTTCAGTAGTAAGAACCGAAATAGTAGTTGTAGCAACAGTTATATTCATTAAATCTTTCCAAACAAAATTATCGTTCTCTGGGAATTTAAAAACAAACTTGTCTTCTACATCTGGTGTAGCGGTTTGTTTTTCTGTTGATTTGTCTTGTCGGTCATTCTGATCAAATTTATCTTTTTCAGGCCATTTAATAAAATTATTTCCAACTTTATCATTCACTTTCTCGATGTCATCTTTACTCAAACTTATACTTTCCGAAGATTCCACAACACCGTCAATAAGATTGTCATCTCTGAACACGATTTTAGCACTTTCGTCTGTATCGAATTCCGTTAAATTTTCGAACTTCGGAGGGGGCGGTCGTACTCCTTGGATGCTTGCTAGTTTGTCGTTTAACCACCAGAATTCTCCATTAATTTGAGCAGCAGAGAATTTTATAAGAAAAACAAATATAATGGTCCGCGAGAGCATCGTTTATTGTGCGTGAGCTCGTTAGATTATTTAGTTCAACTGCAGGATGTTGCACCAGGTGGAATAGTGTCGCGTGATTTCGATATAATGCACCGGTCTATTATTCGACGTCAATTATATTATTCGCAATGTCGATCAATGCACTATGTTCCCTCGCACGTCCTGTAACTGTTATTTTATGCCGAGCACTGAACCGGTCGGCTTTTGTTTTGGTACTTGTAAACAGTTCAAATCAATGAGTAGTCATACTGTTTACGCAATGTTACGAGTTTTGCTGGATTTTTTTTACAAATATCTTTACATGTGGGTCAGACGGTTTATTTTGGACTCTATTTAAAGCAAGTGTATGATATGTTATGAATAACATTAACTTAATATTAGCCCAAGCCTCACAAGAAAAAAAGTATCATATTATGGCATAGGTGGACAAGAAGTGAAGGATTATCTGATGGTAATAAATCTGCGGCGTCCATGGACACCCGCAACACCCAAGAAGTTACGAGTGCGTTACCGACTGAAGGATTGGGAAGGGAAAGGAGGAGGGAGACGTATTGGGCCTTCGGTAACCGCACTTACACGGAGAAACAAGATAGGAGGTAACTCTCCAGTTAGGCCGACCCATTCGTGCCGAAGCATGGCTCTCCCATACTTATTAATAATATTTATAATTCTTAGTAATAATAGAATAAAAATACTTAGTACAGCGAGATAATAACGTCCCTGACACATATTTTTGTAATAAACAAATATGAATCACTCGGTATTTCGTAGTTACTAGAATATTATTACTAAGATTTCAGAAAATTAATAAGCATTTGATAAGTGTCGTTGACGTAGAGACACTATTTAAATTACTTTGTAGGATCTTAGAAATGCCAAGGTTTATTAAAAACATACTTTGACCTTAGAAGAGTCTTTCTCAAAGTGGGTGATAACGCGTTCTAGTTGGCAATTCGGTCCAGAGGGAGTTAGTAGGACCGTCGATATGTAATTTCATAAGATACCTATATTTTTTAGGAGAGAAAATCATCAAATAACTTCTTTGGCCCTAGAAAGCCCTAGTGAGGAAGTTTCAGGCTCTTACTGACTAAAAATCATTCCTTGCCTTCTGCTCTAGGCCGGATAAGATACTTCATCATCATCATCAGCCTATAAGTGCCCACTGCTGAGCAGAGGCCTCTTCTCACACGGAGAAGGTTTGAGCATTAATCTTAGATACTTACCTTATCAGTTTTTAATTCATTGAAACAGGGGCCGTCAAGTTTGGGAACCACTGTTCGAAAATAAAAAGGAAATTAAAGTATAATGTAAAATTAATGTGTACATACCTAGCTTCAGTATTTCGCTTCAACTTAGGATCACAGCCAACAGGGACCTACAATCTGAAACCCTTAGTGCGATCAATTTTTCCGTGTGTAACGTATTCGATGACAAATTAGTTTATGTCGGAGCGTCTCCTTCGGCAACTTGCTCAAACTCTTGATAAGAGTTGCTCTAAAAACTTCGTACAGCTTCCAAATTGATTTCGATCGAAACTAGGAACTTAGTGCTGCCAACCGATAACTTAGTTTGCTGGGAACTAACGGGAATTTGTTTTCTAGTATTCATTAAACTTTTGCAGCTGTTATCCGTTCTGAAGCTATTGCTATGTGAAGTGGAAAGGATGAATCGACTAATGAAAATTTCTCTCTTCATTATTGTGTCTTTTATTGTTTTAGTTCGACGTTGGGAAATGATCAAACTTTTTAACTCTATTGAGTCAGTGAAGTTATTAATTGTCGAACATTGTTATTATAAAACTTGGATTTGAAAACTTTGTGCTAGCGGTTTTAGTAAATAAAAATATTAAGTTGATTTCATTCCAAGCCGCTGAGTGGAGATTGGTTTGTGAAATACCTAATTTTGCACATGAATTCCTTTTCGTAACAAAGAAAATGAACTGTTTTTAAGTTCTCAGAATTCCTACGGGAACGTCTGTGTATAGAATCCTAGCTTAAGCTTTCGTTAATTTAGGAAGATCAAGAGATAAGTAGGCAAGAATGACTAACGTATCGTATGCCTTATATGTGTGGAACTGGAATAAAGGTATAAGAATTACAGGATCAATAAAATGTTTCCACTTTTTATGTGGCAAGATGCCTTTACCGCTTGATTATTCCCTTATCAATAAGGATACCTAAATATCACATGGTATAATATAATACCTAAAACATAATACAAAAATATAATACCTTAAACTTATGTCGGAATATAATATACCTAACAAATACTAGGTACGGATCTAAATATCCCACTTTTCGTAACCTATTTCTGAAAATAGTTTTCTATTTGCTACATAGTCAAACTCAGGTCCGTACTGTCCAATTCCATTTAAGAAGGTACCTGGTCTCTGTATGCAATCTGGTCAGGTTAGGAATTTACACATATAAATATTCCGTCTACATTGTTCTACAGAAATAGCATACTCGCGCCAATTTTGCAAGAATTACAAAGAGACCCGAACAACAGCGGAGTTAAAAAGGAGAATTGTTCTTGTTTGTGTAAAAATATATTGTTCTTCAGTGAAGTACGATTCGTAAGGAAAAGGCGGTGAGAGTTCTATTTTGTTCATTGTGTTACGCAATTAGAATGCATAGCTCGCTCCCTCGATTTACTTTCGGTTTGGTGCAGAAAATTGCAATGGCAGGTTTTTTCTAACGTTTCCAGAATCGACTAGTTCTTTCATTGATTATCATGCACTTTTATTTTTCTTATTAAGTCTTTGTGTAAGAACTGGAGCTGCAATGTTTTGGTCTAATATAAAATCTACGTGGACAATTTCTATGAAAACGTAGGTATGTGTTCGTAAAATATGTATATGTAAGTCTTTTATTATTGAAGAGGCTCTATTTTATTGGTAAGCTTATCAAATTTATTTCAGTTAGAAGCTAAATTTCGTGTTCCTTTGTTTTGAATCTACATTCCAAATATTCAGAACCAAAGTGTGAACGAAATCTAGAATCCGGAAACAATGCAATGTCTCGAAAGGTTCTTGAATAAGATTCGTTCGACCGAAGAGATTTGTGTGGACGCCGTGAGAGCATTCCGAGGGAACAGTCGCCTGTTTTACAGAGGAGCTAGGATTCAAATGCTTTAGGTACATATCTGGTAAGAACTCGTAAAAACATTTCAGGCAGTAGGTATTATTGTCATAAATATATCCTATTATTTAAGGATTTGCTTTCAATGTCAGCTTTGGGCGGCTCCATGCCTCATTAAAAATGGTACCTATTCATAACAACATTTTCAAAGCAAAAATAAATATTGAGGACATCTGTTGGCGTCTTTTTTATGTCACGGGTCGGTTAACGAGCAGGCGGATTACCTGATGATAAGCAACCAGCGCTGCTCATGCACACTCGTAGTATCAAAGGTGTTACTACAAGTGCGTTGCCGGCCTCTTGTGGGTTAATAGCGATTTTAGGATTGAGGATGAGGGGAGGGGATGGTAAGGGGGAATTGGGCATCCGGTAACTACCTCACTCACACGGCGACATACAACATAAGTGTTGCTTCACGCCGGTTTTCTGTGAGTTCTTAGTATCACTTCGATCGAGCCGTCCCATTCGTGCTGAAGCATGGCTCTCCCACACATACATAAATCGTGTGTAACGTTTGTAAAGTATATTTTAATATTACCAACAAACCGGTTAATATAACTAAATACTTATAATAAACTTATAGGCATTCGTACAATAAAATCATCTAAGGATATGTTACCGACCCTGACATAAACATGGCCTTGGAATTCCTAAAAAGTCTCAGAAAATATTTGTCGTGACATCGTCGTCGAACCGCGTGCCTTGGGACCCATATCTTCCGCTTGAAGGTCACGAAAATTCTTATTACTTTGAGCCAACCATTTTTTACATCTTTCCGAGGAAATATATGAATTTTAAATGACCTTTTTACTTGAAACTTTTAGAAATGCTGTTGGAAAATGTGTGTATAATTTATTGTTGTAACCACAAGCATTACACGGTTATGTTGGTCGACGGCCAGAACAAATCCGGGTAATGTAGCGGTTGTGGTGCAGTTAGAGATTAACGCCTGAATACTAAAACGCTACTTAATTCTATGTGTATAGCCTTTAAGCTTGTTGACAGTATCATACTTAAACAGTAGGTTAGTTTGGTTATAGGATTATGAGTAAATTAAAGAGTGCCATTGACCTAAATGCCGTTCAGCAACTTAATTAACCATGGATACTAGTGCAAGCACAATAACGTATGTACTGCCCGAACCCCAAGAAGGAGGAGGAACCAGGTGGTTTTTAGTCAGTAAAATAGTAATTCACGCTGCATCTTTGATCAGAATTGTTGACACTAGAAATATAAGGTTAAGTGTGGGAGAGCCAAGCTTTCTTCACGAATGGGTCGGCTCGACCGAATTGATACCACGGCCTCACAGAAAACCGGAGTGAAACAACCACAGCGTTGTGTTTTGTCGTGTGAGGTTACCAGAGGCCCAATCCTACCCCCTCTCCTTTCCTTTCTTAATCCTTAAATATCCGCAACCCTTATCCATAAGTATAATCCAGTTTTGCGGGTGTCCTTGGTCGGCGCCAATTGCTTACCATCAGTTAATCCGACTGCTCGTTTGCCGACTTACCACCTTAACACCAAAAAAAAAACACATTTAAAAGAATAAAAATGACAGCTTTTTACTTAATTAATGAGTTAACGAAGTTGATTGTTTTTTGAATAAATAAATAAATAAAACATTATAAGTTTTGAATAGTCACTATAGTGGGACATACTACAGGTCTTTTTTTCGATCTATCCAAAGCGTTCGATCTAGTTTCGCATAATATACTGCTGCAAAAGTTAGAGGCAATCGGGATTAGAGGACCGACACTTCAGTGGTTATCATCATATTTGAGTAATAGACAACAATGTGTCATTATCAATAGAGTGAATGAAAATAAAGATATAGTGCCCTATCAGTCCGAATATAAGTGCAATAAATATGGCGTCCCACAAGGAAGCATACTAGGCCCGATATTGTTTCTCATATATATAAATGATATTACTACAATAACTAACCATAAATGTGTGTTGTTTGCTGATGATATTTCTATCATAGTTACCACTGAGAAAAAATATTATACAGTCGAAGATCATGAATTAGACATTAATAAT